TATGGCAGACATCCTCAGAGGTCTGTTGGAAACTAGGAAAATGGGGTTTATATATCTGTGGAATGTCCAGGGTGGGAGAAAGAACTCTTCTCTGTTCCAGTAGGTGTGAATGTTTCCAACAAAGGATTCCCCTAGGCAGTAAGAAGCCCGACCTTGAAACTGCTGGGTTGTTAAATGCTAATCAAGGTGGCCAGTTGAAACATTCATACCTACCTCCAACCAACAAGAGTTCTTTCTCCCACCCGGGACATTCCACAGATATATAAACTGTTCAGAAACAAAAAAAATTAACATTGTATTTTTAATTACAAAAAGTGATGTACAGGCACTGAAAGACTTAAAATGATGCAATGACTAAGCAAAACCATAAGTAGGTGTGCCTGTGAGTTACTTGCTCCTCCTGTGTGAAGACTTCCTCTTGTGTGAAGAATGCCTCAGCGTAAGGAGTGTTGCATTTGACTACTCCAAGGAGAGAGCTGCTTCAGTTTGAAGTTTGTTGTATGAGGATTGAATGAAAAGTAATGCCTCCACCTTCATAACTCCTCAACAGATGGCAGTACTGGCATGCGGCAGGTACTGGCTTGTTCAGTAGACTCTCCTCTACAGTTCCATTTTGGCGGGAAGCCTTAGCATTGAACAGTTGTGTTGTTAAAGTGCAAAGCATGGAACCCTGCGCAGACGGTTGGTCAATGTGACTAAAGCAACGTGCAGTCATTGAATTTTGACAGCAGAAGGTGTCGCTCCAAAGGAGATTCATCAGAGAATGCAAGCTATTTATGGGGATTGTGTTGATGTGAGTACTGTGTGTCGTTGAGCGAGTAAGTTTAAAGATGTTGAGGTGGGAACATCTGACTTGCATGACAAACAAAGAGTTGGACGTCCTGTGACAGCAACCACTGAGTTTCACAAGCAAAAAGTTGGCAGATTGATTCAAGATGATCATCGTATCACTCAGAGAGAGCATAATCAGCATTTCACAAGAACGTGTGGGTCACATTATTGCTTTGCTTGGCTATCGGAAGATCTGTGCATGATGGGTACCCAGGATGCTGACGCCTGAAATGAAAGCGCACAGACTTGAAACTTCAGAGACTGGATCTCACCACCGTACGACATCCTCCATACAGTCCAGATTTAGCACCATCTGACTTCCATCTGTTCCCGATAATGAAAGAAGATCTGCGGGGACATCGTTATGCTTCTGATGAAGACGTTGAGAGAACTGTGAGACGCTGGTCACGGAAACAGAGTGTCGACTTCTTCCGTGACAGCTTCAGAAAACTTGTTCATCATTGGCAGAAATGTATCCAATTGTGTGGTGATTATGTCAAAAAGTGCATAGTGGTAGTTAAAGAGCACAATCTAAGGATTATTTCTGCGTTTGGTTTATTGAAATATTCTCATCCAAACCCAAGTAACGAAGGTGAAGGCATTACTTTTCATTCAACCCTCGTATGTTCTTTATCTACATGAGAGAGAAACCCAGCGTGAAGGCAAGGAGCTGAAGCAAAGATATAACAAGGAAGTATAAAGATATATTGTCGAAGGCTTTCATGGCCGGAATCACTGGGTTGTAGGTTTTTTTGGGCTGTATGGCCATGGTCTAGAGGCATTCTCTCCTGACGTTTCACCTGCATCTACTCAGAGGTAGTGAGGTCTGTTGGAACTAGGAAAAAGGGTTTATATATCTGTGGAATGGCCAGGGTGAGACAAAGGACTCTTGTCTGCTGGAGCTAGGTGTGACTGTTTCAACTGACCACCTTGATTAGCATATAATGGGCTGACTGTGCCTGGAACAAACTTTTGTTGAGAAATAATTAGATGTCCCTGCCTGCTTCCTCTCTGTTGTGCTGTTGCAATTTTAGAGTTTTTTTAAATACTGGTAGCCAGATTTTGTTCATTTTCATGCTCCAGCAGATAAGAATCCTTTGTCCCACCCTGGTCATTCCACAGATATATAAACTGTTTTTCCTTGTTCCAACAGACCTCACTATCTCTAAGGATGCTTGCCATAGATGTAGGCAAAATGTCAGGAGAGAATGCCTCTAGACCATGGCCATACAGCCCGAAAAAACCTACAACAACCCAATTTTGTTCATGGTATGGAAACCTTGTTTGTTTTTGTAACCATATAATTTTTCTACAAGAAAGGCCTCCGGAGGAAGATAACAATAGTCGGTGTGTTTATTTCGTCTTGTTGCAACTTTAAAATTGCAACAGCACAACAACAGAGAGGAAGCTGCTGGTTCCGGGTCAATAAATAAGCTACTTTTATGGTGAGAGTCTTTTGTTATTAAGCCCATTCACCAAACATTTTCCTAGTTTCCCACAGATCTCACAACCTCTGAGGATGCCTGCCTTAGATGCAGGCGAAACATCAGGAGAGAATGCTTCTGGAACATGGCCAGACATCCTGGAAAACTCACAGCAACCTTGTATTGATCTTCATTTGCAAAAGAGGGAACTGATAGGGAAAGAATCTGCTATTGGTTCGCCGAGCCTTAAAAACAACCTGTTCCATGGCGGCAGGTCAGATTCAAGACGGAACGTTGCATCTATTCGTACCTACCTTTGATATAATCCTTTCTTCCCCACTCGGAAGTACTGTAATGTATGTTTCATGAAGCCATTCGACCGACGGAAATGACTGGGTTTGGCTAAAAGCCACGTAAGTTCAGACATCACAGACGTATACTTAGCTTGAGAAGGAAATGGTTTGAAAGCAAACTTGGGCCCTCCAGGTGTTTTGGACTCCAACTCCCACAATTCCTAACAGCCTACCGGCTGTTAGGAATTGTGGGAGTTGGAGTCCAAAACACCTGGAGGGCCCAAGTTTGCCCAGGCCTGTTTTAGAGACACTTATACCATTCTTTGTTTCTTAAGATGGATATTTGTCTGTGAGATGCATGCATTCCAGGTAACCAGCCTGGGCTTTCCGACTTGAAAGTGGCAGTGTCACTCCAAGATCCAACACCCGTCCGTTTCCGGCTGGTGACAGCACTAGCTGACGATTCTTAAATATTGATGGTTATTGTCTTGTACAGCAGTTGTGTGTGCCACTTGTACTGTATTCCTGGAATAAATTCTTTCAAGCTTAAGTCTTCCAAACTTTTCTTTTTCATTGACTGCTCAGAGGATTAAATCCAATCTAATTTTTGAGTTGCAAACTTGGCAGGTGAATGGAAGCCTATCTTGAGTTTGGGGAGGCCTTACTATACTGGGTGGGGCGGATAGGGGTTATCTAGGTCAGTGTTTCTCAACCCTCCTAATGCCGCGACCCCTTAATACAGTTCCTCATGTTGTGGTGACCCCTAACCATAAAATTATTTTTGTTGCTACTTCATAACTAATTTTGCTACTGTTATGAATCATAATGTAAATATTTGATATGCAGGATGTATTTTCATTCACTAGACCAAATTTGGCACAAATATCTGATATGCCCATATTTGAATATTGGTGGGATTGGGAAGGGATTGATTTTGTCATTTGGTGATCGGCAATTGGCAACGGGGCAGGACTATATCTGGAAGCCACAGTCCGGTATATGGGCAGTGGATATTCGGTCATTCTAGCTCAAGGTCCAAGGCAGTTGAGCAGTATCCACAACTGAGCAACTCTACTTAGTATCCACTCTGCTCACCCCACACGGAGCCCCTGGTGACACAATGACTTAAACCTTTGTGCCAGTAGGACTTCTGATTGACAGGTCAGTGGTATGAAACTCTGGAGAGCGGGTTGAGCTCCCTCTGTCAGCTCCGGCTCCCCATGTGGGGACATGAGAGAAGCCTGCCACATCCAGTCGTTCCCTGGGCAATGTACTTGCAGATGGCCAATTCTCCACCAGAAGCGGCTAGAAGTTTCTCAAGTTGATCCTGGCATGAAAAGAAATAATGAGAGAAGCCTCTCACATCCATTTGTCCCCTGGGTAACATCCTTGAAGATAGCCCATTCTCTTACACTAGAAGCGACTTGTCATTTCTCAAATCGCTTCTGACACCAAGAGAGAGAGAGAGAGAGAGAGAGAGGCCTCCCACATCCAGTCATCCTTGCAGATGGCCAATTCTCTCATGCCAGAAGTGACTTGCAGTTTCTCAAATCACTCCTGACACTCACACAAGAGAGAAGCCTCCCACATCCAGTCGTCCCCTGGGCAACATCCTTGCAGACGGCCAATTTCCTCACACCAGAAGTGACTTGCAGTTTCTCAAGTCACTCCTGACACACACAAAAAAGAAAACAAGAGAAGCCTGCCACATCTGGGCATCCCCTGGGCAACGTCCTTGCAGACAGCCAATTCTCTCACACCAGAAGCAACTTGCAGTTTCTCAAGTCATTCCTGACATGAAAAAAAAAAACAAAACAAAGCGAGAGAAGCCTCACACATCCAGTTGTCCCCTGGGCAACGTCCTTACAGATGGCCAATTCTTGCACGCCAGAAGCGACTTGCAGTTTCTCAAGTTGCTCCTGCACGAAAAAATCAAAACGAGAGAAGCCTCCCACATCCAGTTGTCCCCTGGGCAACATCTTTGCAGACGGCCAATTTTCTCACACCAGAAGTAACTTGCAGTTTCTCAAGTCACTCCTGACACATACAAAAAAAGAAAACGAGAGAAGCCTGCCACATCCGGGCATCCCCTGGGCAACATCCTTGCAGACAGCCAATTCTCTCACACCAAAAGTGACTTGCAGTTCCTCAAGTTGCTTCTGGCATAGGTGAAAAACAAAAACGAGAAAATCCTGCCACATCCAGCCATCCCCTGGGCAATGTCCTTGCAGACAGCAAATTCTCTCACATCAGAAGCAACTTGTTGTTTCTCAAATCACTCCTGATACCAAAAAAACCCCTACGAGAGGACTGTTTCTCTTATTTATCCCTGACTGGACTGCCACATCCAGAAGGACAAAAAAGACATGTAAATTTTGAATTGCAAGACAATCATATTCAGCCACATGGTATAGTATAGGCATGGGACCAAAGAATTGGGGTGCATGACGAATGAACAAACGAACAGGTTGGATGTTTATTTGAAAGGCAGTTTTGTATGCAGGAGTTTTTATAAATCTTATAACTGTAGTTACAAGATTTATGACTGTAGTCCTGGCACTGAGCTTGCTTTTGCTATTTGTAATCAACCAGGGACTGAGATACAGTGTTTGGGACAAAACAGTTACGGTAGGTGGCACAGAAGCTGCCCATCACCATAAGAGTAGGTTGTTCGTATCCTGTGTTGCAGGAATGGCACAGGACAGTGGCAAGCGTGTAGTAATCTCCTGAAATTGTTTATCTTCTGTGACCAAGGAGGTACATCTTTCGACTGGAGTTCTTTCCACATCTCCAGGTGCTGAAACGCTTTCTCCTTGGGTGTGCGTTGCTTGGTGGCGACCCAAGTGGTACTTCCGCTTGAAGCTCTTGCCACACTCCAGGCATCCAAACAGCTTCTCCCTTCGGTGGGTGGCTTGATGACGAGTGAGGCTTCCTTTCTGGATGAACCTCTTCCCACACTCGGAGCACGTATACATTTTCTCCCCTGTGTGCGTTGCAAGGTGGTAGGAGAGGTTTCCTTTCTGAATGAACCTCCTCCCGCACTCCAGGCATTGATACGGCTTCACCCCCGTGTGCGTCGCCAGGTGGTGCCTCATGTTGCCTTTCTGGATGAAGCTCTTCCCACATTCGGGGCATTTGTAGGGTTTCTCCCCCGTATGGATCCTCAGGTGTTTCACAAGGTAGGACCTCCACCTAAAGCTCTTTCCGCACTCGAAGCACTGAAACAGCTCCTCTCTCATTGGTGTCCTTTCGTCAGAAATCAGGCAGTGTCTCAAATGGGTAGTATGCACTTTGAAAGCCTTCTCAACCATGAGTCTTTTTCTATGAGGATTAAGGCTGGGTTTGGAGCTGAAGCTTCCCTCACATTGAAGGCAAGGGATTTCGCTTCTTTCCTGGGTTATTTCTTGGGGTGAGAGTCTGCAGGCACACTCGTCCTGAGAAGCAGGGCTTTGGTCCTCTCTTGCTCCTTCTGTTTTTGTTCTCTGTCCTTTCATCCGATCACATTTTCCTCCCTGAAGCAAAAGTTCCAATGCTTTCCCTTCATTTTCACTCTTTGGTCCATCCTCACCTGAAAACACGAGAAATAAAAGGTCAGGGCTGAGATAAGAAGTAGAAACTCCAGTTTCTGAATGTATTGGCGGATGCCCATTTGCATCAATGTGAGGAGACCACGGAGAAGAGAAATGCTTTGGTCAGACCTCATCTTTAATACTACATCCAGTTCTGGTCCCCAAAATTAAAGAAGGACATCGATAAGATGGAATGTGTCCAGAGGAAGGCAAATGTGAGTAGATCAATAGGTACTGCCTCAATAGATACTGCTGGAAATGAAAGGAGAAGCCTTTGCCTTTGCGTTTGTGTCTCATTGGATTTCATTGTAAAAAGGCATTGAATATTCACCTGTGCCTGTTTATATGCTGTAATCCGCTCTTAGTCCCATCAGATATATATATATATATATATATATATAATAATAATAGTAATAATTATAATAATTATTATTACTTAAACCAAGATGATTTTTATGAAGTGAATTGATCAAGGCCAAGAAAAGGGGGAGCCTCACCCACAAAGGACACACTCCCCCAATTCTCCATCATCATTTCCTCGTGAAGCTTCCTTTGGCTTGGATCTAGCAGCGCCCACTCCTCTGCAGTAAAATACACAGCCAGCTCTTCGAAGATCACCTGAATGATGAAAGACATGCACAGGTGAGCACAAAGTGCCAATGCGAGCCTCAAAAGGCAACAGTGCTGTATGCAATAAAGACAGAATGACAGTCAAAGTCAGTGCAGGCCATGAGGGACAAGGGGACACACACACACACACACACACACACAAGGGAGGGCAGTGGGATGCTACCACTGCATATTATATATTTCTTTGCTGCCACCAATTATTTATTTTTACCTGGGAACCGCTCTGAGTTCCCTCAGGGAGATAGAGAGTATATGAATAAAGTATTATTATTATTATTATTATTATTATTATTATTATTATTATTATTAAGGTTTCTTCTGCTGCCACCATTTATTGATTCATAGGCCACCTCCTTCACTAGCATGTTCAAGAAGACACACAAACTTTTCAGGTGAAATAAAACAAGAATACAATGTTTATTTTTGTTCTTGAACAGTAAAGATGCGTAATCATTTCAATAAATTGTCAGGCTTTACTTTTACAGAGAATGGTCTTATAACTTGAGTTTCTTAAAAGCAATGTTCCACACACAGGAATACAAAGAGGTTAATGTATTGTCGAAGGCTTTCATGGCTGGAATCACTCAGTTCTTGTGGGTTTTTTCGGGCTATATGGCCATGTTCTAGAAGCATTTCTCCTGACGTTTCGCCTGCATCTATGGCAAGCTTCCTCAGAGGTGAGGTCCTCTGAGGAAGCTTGCAATAGATGCAGGCGAAACGTCAGGAGAAATGCCTCTAGAACATGGCCATATAGCCCGAAAAAACCCACAAGAACTGGACAAAGAGGTTATTTTGATCCTTTTGAATCCCCTTCCCATACCAACACTCTAAAACTATAGAGGCCTATTATTTTTCGTACTCCTTCTCCCTGAAGGATTTAACTATTTTCCTCAAAGAGGTAGGTACCTTCCTAACAACAGTTCCCAAAACTCTTCCTTCCTCCATTCCCCTTCAAATCCCCTACCCTAACTCTTCAAACTCTAAGCTCCCAACTAACAAGACTCTGGCTGCATTAGCTCTTACTTTCCCTCTGGCTCTAAGCAACTCCTTTCAATTCCATCAGCCAATCAGACTGCACCAATTATGAAGCTACCTGATCGCTCTTCCCTTCCTCTCCTTAGCTTTTCCAATCCAGGCCTACTTACTGCCTTTACACCAACCTTGTAAGGTAGGCTAATCTGTTACACTGTACATATAGAATCATAGAATGAGACCATGGGAGTCATCCAGCCCAACCCCCCTCTGCCATGCAGGAAAAGCACAATCAAACACTACTGACAGATGTCCATCCAGCTTCTGTTTAAAAGCCTCCAAAGAAGGTCCTTCCACCACATTCTGTTTGGAAAGTTTTGAGGACACACCTTCTCGCCCCACCATGAATTTTGCCCCTTACCTGCTCTGGTTTTGAAGAAGCCGTTCTGAGATCATCGCACCGAAAAGACTTGCCTGTATTGAATGGCCATGCCTTTATGGCACTTCCTGTGAGGAGTGAAAAAGCCAAATGGGAAAGTTATCTGGGCTTGTTCAGGACTCAGACTCTATTTTAGAAACAGTTTGCTTAGAGACTTCAGTAGGAACAAATGCTCTGCTTCTGATTCAACCCATTCCATACTCAGAAAAATTGCTCAATGCCAGAACTTAAACACATACACAAAGATCTGGAAGGGAGCAATGAATAGTGCAGCGATCCAAGCCTTGAGCAATGGTTCTGGAGATCAAGGTTCAATTCCCTGTTCAGCCTGGAAACCCATTGGGTGACCTTCACACCTTCTCAGCCCCAGGAAACCCCATGATAGGTTTGCCTATTCTTGGCAAGATTTTTGTAGCCATAACACCAAGTATATATATTTTTGACAGAGCTGGAGCTGACAGAGGGAGCTCATCCATGCTCTCCCAGGATTTGAATCTCCGACCTGTCGGTCTTCAGTCCTGCCGGCACAAAGGTTTGACCCACTGCGCCATTGGGGCTCCCCCTCCTTTGAGGTCTAAAAGCATACTGTATAACAAAAATGGAGTCCTGTGTCTGAAGCCTCTCCCACAGAGGTAAGTCAAACTGGAACACCAAAAGGTACGTATAATATAGTTTAACAATTATACACATTTACAAACAGTTACTGGAGACTTGGAAGGTTGCTATTTCCAATAATACACACCCTATTCCACACACACACACACACACACCTTCCCATCATATTCAATGAAACAACAACAGACTTTTTTGCTAGGACTAAAAAAAATAATATAACAGTTTTCCTCAGATCTGTGATCAAAATGGAACTGTAGAGGAGAGTCTCCTGAACAAGCCAGGACCTGCTGTATACTAGTACTGACATCTGATCATGGTCAAATTGTTCATGGTCAAATTGTTTTTCCTTTTCTTTAGCTATTTGAAATTTGCTTGGTATATTTTTTCAATGATGATGATGATGATGACCCCCACTTTCTTCCCAGGACGTACCCAATGCGCTGGGTGCTCTGTCCCCATCTTGTTCGATGCCCTTCGTCTCAGAATTAGATTTTTTCATCTCAGCCATCTCTTCCACAAAGATTTCCTGCCCCGGAAGATAAAGCAGGAAGATAAAGGGAGAAAAGGGGAAATTAGAAATGGATAGAAGACCTTTTCAGTGGCTGCTCCCAGACTCTAGATCTCCCTCTATGTCGGTTTTCCTCAACTTTCCTAATGCTGTGACCCCTTAGTACAGTTCCCCATGTTGTGGTGACCCCCAACCATAACATTATTTTCGTTGCTACTTCGTAACTGTCATTTTGCTACTGTTATGAATCGTCATGTAAACATCTGATATGCAAGATGTATTTTCATTCACTGGACCAAATTTGGCACAAATACCCGATACGCCCAAATTTGAATACTGGTGGGGTTGAAGAAGAGGACTGATTTTGTCATTTGGGAGTTGTAGTTGCTGGGATTTATCGTTCACCTACAATCAAAGAGCATTCTGAGCTCTGGCAACAATTGAATTGAACCAAACTTGGCACACAGAACACCCGTGACCAACAGAAAATACTGGAAGGGCTTGGTGGACATTAACCTTGAGTTTGGGAGTTGTAGTTTACCTACATCCAGAGACCACTGTGGACTGACACAATGATGGATCTGGACCAAGCTTGGCACGAATACTCATTGTGCTCAAATGTGAACACTGGTGGACTTTGGGGAAAATAGACCTTGACATTTGGGAGCTGTAGTTGCTGGGATTTATAGTTCACCTACAATCAAAGAGCATTCTGAGCTCTGTCAACAATGGAATTGAACCAAACTTGGCATATAGGACTCCCACGACCAACAGAAAATACTGGAAGAGCTTGGTGGGTATTGACCTTGAGTTTGGGAGTTGTAGTTTACCTAAATCCAGAAATCACTGTGGACTCAAACAATGATGGATATGGACCAAATTTGGCAAGTATACTCAATATGCCCAAATGTGAACACTGGTGGAGTTTGGGGAAAATAGATTTGACGTTTGAGAGTCGTAGTTGCTGGGATTTATAGTTCATCTACAATCAAAGAGCATTCTGAACACCACCAACAATAGAATTGGGCCAAACTTCCCACACAGAACCCACATGAGAAGCGGGAAATACTGTGTTTCTGATGGTTTCTGATGACATCCCCTTGTGACCACTTCAGGGGTCCCAACCCCCAGGTTGAGAAACACTGCTCTATAGAGAGACTAGGATGGTCTCTTTTCCATCTGGATCAAGGCTGTATTAATTGAAGGCTGTTCAGCATCCTTGTGAACAAACATCCCCAGATCTTTGAAATGATGATCTTGCAAAGGTCTCACCTGCCTCTCTTCCATCCTTTTCTCTGCTGCATGGCTGAGGAGGAATCCTTCTGCCAGGGCCACGGCTTGGGAGCTGCTCTCTGCCCCGCACTCCCTCACCCAGCGCTCCATCTCCGTAGGAAGGATGGCCAGGAACTGCTCCAGCACCACCAGGTCCAGCATCTCCGCCTTGGTGTGCCTTTCTGGCTTCAGCCATTGCCGGCAAAGAGCATGAAGCCGGCTGCAAACTCTCCGGGGCCCTTCTTCCTCCTTGTAGCACAACCTCCGGAAGCGCTGGCGGTGTAAATCCAAGCTGAACGCATCCATCTCCAGGGTCTTCTGTGTATTCTGTTCCTCGAAGGTTCCACAAGGCTGAGTTTCAATGAGAGGAGAGCCTTTTCCAAGCTTGGAGTCGTGTTCTTCAATCTTTTCAGCAAAGTTTCCCACTATGGCTATGTTCTCCTGCAAGGCAAAAACACTGGGACTTCAAAGGAAGGAAAATGAAAGCAAGCAGGATGTTAAATTTGTTGAAAATAGCAACCTTCTCAAGCCTACACTAGTTATTTGTTATGTAAACAACTGAGGTTGCTTACTGTATTCTACGTGTGTAATGGTACACAGTTTTCCTTAACTCTTTGTTGCAGGAGGGGCTGCAGACCAGGTGATCAGAACTGGGACTTGTTCAGACTCAGACTCCATTTTAGATTTCAGGAGCCATTAGACTTTCAATGTACGAGGGTTGAATGAAAAGTAATGCCTCCACCTTCGTTATTTGGGTTTGGATAGGAATATTTTCATAAATCGAACACAGAAATAATCCTTAGAATGTGATCTTTAACAACCACTATTCACTTCTCCACATAATCACCAGACATTTGGATACCTTTCTGCCAACAATGAACAAGTTTTCTGAAGCCTTCACGGAAGAAGTTGACACTAGGTTTTCACAACCAGCGTCTCCCAGTTCTCTCAACGTCTTCATCAGAAGCATAATGATGTCCCCGCAGACCTTCTTTCATTATCAGGAACAGATGGAAGTCAGATGGTGCTAAATCTGGACTGTATGGAAGATGTTGTAGGGTGGTGAGATCCAGTTTCTGAAAGTTCAAGTCTGTGCACTTTCATTTCAGGCATCAGCATCCTGGGTACCCATTGTGCACAGATCTTCCGATAGCCAAGCAAAGCAATAATGTGACTCACATGTTCTTGTGACATGCCAATTATGCTTGAAATTTCTCTCTGAGTGATACGACAATCATCCTGAATCAATCTGTCAACCTATTGTTGAAGGATTTCATGGCTGGAATCACTGGGTTGTTGTAGGTTTTTTGGGCTACATGGCCATGTTCTAGAAGCATTTTCACCTGACATTTTGCCTACATCTATGGCAAGCATCCTCAGAGGTTGTGAGGTCTGTCAAACCTTTGCTTGTGAAACTTGGTGGTTGCTGTCACTGGATGTCCAACTCTTTGTTTGTCACAAAAGTCAGATGTTCCCACCTCAACATTTTTAAACGACGCACAGTACTCACATCGACACAATCACCATAAACAGCTTGCATTCTCCGATGAATCTCCTTCGAGGTGACACCTTCCACTGTCAAGAATTCAATGACTGCATGTTGCTTAAGTTGTATTGACCGACTGTCTGCACAGGGTTCCATTCTTCGCACTTTAACAAAACAACCACTCAATGCTAAGGCTTCCCGCCAAAATGGAACTGTAGAGGAGAGTCTACTGAACAAGCCAGTACCTGCCACATACCAGTACTGCCATCTGTTGAGGAGTTACAAAGGTGGAGGCATTACTTTTCATTCAACTCTCATAAAGCAGGCATCTCTGGCATCTGAAGATGCCAGCCATAAATGAAGACAAAATTTCAGGAAACGCTGACCTTTCTCGCCTGCATGCTAGAACACGGCCATACATCCCGGAAACCACACAACACCCCAGTGATTGCAGCGTGAAAGCAATACTCGGTTCTTCCCTCTGAAATACAGCCGATGGCACCTGAAATTTGTGGACGGATCTCCCATCGTACTAACTTAGCTGTCCAACTGCTCTCTCAAGTCACCTACTGCCATATATTTCAATTAGTTTTTCTTAGACAAGGAATGCTCAGAAGTGGATTTGCCAGTTCCTCCCTTTGAAGTATCGCCTCCAGCAGTTTCCCATCCAAGTCAACCCTGCTTAGCTTTTCAATTGCTCTGTGTGTATGTCCTCAAGTCACCTGTTGACTTATTTGCATTGGGTTTCCTTAGGGACTGAGTGCTTAGAAATGGGTTTGTGCCAGTTCCCTCCTCTGAAATATTACTTGGTATTGGAAGGCGGTCTCCCACCCAAGTATTAACCAGGGCCAACACTGCTTAGCTTTCCAACTGCTCTGTGTGTGTGTGTGTGTGTGTGTGTGTGTGTGTGTGTGTGTGTGTGTGTATATATATATATATAGCTTCAATTCACCAGTTTACTTATGGTGCCACTGTAAATGAGTAGAGATAGTTTTGCCAGTTGTTTCCACTGAAATACAGCTTGGCATTGGATGGTGGTCTCCCACCCAAATACTAACCAGGGCTGTCCCTGCTTAGCTTTCCAACTGCTCTGTGTGTGTATCTATAGCTTCAAGTCACCAGTTTACTTATGGTGACCCTTTGAATGAGTAGTTTTGCCAGTCGTTTCCACTGAAACACAGCTTGGTATTGGATGGTGGTCTCCCACCCAAGTATTAACCAGGGCCAACCCTGCTTAGCTTTCCAGCTGCTCTCTGTGTGTGTTTGTGTGTGTATATAACTTCAACTCACGAGTTCAACTATGGTGACCCTATGAATGCTTAGTGATAGTTTTGTTGGTCGTTTCCCCTGAAATATAGCCTGGTATTGGATGGTGGTCTCCCACCCAAGTATTAACCAGGGCCAACCCTGCTTAGCTTTCCAACTGCTCTGTGTGTATATATATAGCTTCTAAGTCACTAGTTCACTTATGGTGATCCTATGAATGCTTAGTGATAGTTTTGTTGGTCGTTTCCCCTGAAATATAGCCTGGTATTGGATGGTGGCTTCCCACCCAAGTATTAACCAGGGCCAACCCTGCTTAGCTTTCCAACTGCTCTGTATGTGTATATATAACTTCAAGTCACCAGTTTACTTATGGTGACCCTATGAATGAGTAGAGATAGTTTTGCCAGTCATTTCCACTGAAATACAACTGCTATTGGATGGTGGTCTCCCACCCAAATTCTAACTAGGGCCAACCCTGCTTAGCTTTCCAACTGATCTGTGTGTGTATCTATAGCTTCAAGTCACCAGTTTACTTATGGTGACCCTATGAATGAGTAGAGATAGTTTTGCCGGTCGTTTCCACTGAAATACAACTGCCATTGGATGGTGGTCTCCCACCCAAGTATTAACCAGGGCTGTCCCTGCTTAGCTTCCCAACTGCTGTGTGGCGTGGAATCCCCAGAGATGGTTCCTTCCTAACATAGCCATCAAAACCCATGACCTTGGGGGCAAGTCACACTCTCTCAGCCTCAAAAGAGAAGCAAAACCACATCCCCTTCTAAACAAACCTGGCCAAGAGAACCCAGAGTAGACTCAAGAGCAACCAATGGGAAGGAAGAAAAGAGGGGAGGTGCAGAAAAGGGGTGGGAAGTGGGGGTAAAGAAAAGGGGGCGGTTCAAAGAGTCAGCCCCCTTTACTCCCCTTTTGCCCCCCTTTTCTTCCTCCTTGCATCTTGCAAGGAAGAACAGGAACAAGCAGAAGCTGGGACCCCCTCCTCTTATATTCATGTCCCTGCAGATTCTGTGCCCCCCACTTTCCCCCCAAATAAGCCTTGCAATGGGGAAAACAATGGGGTTTTGCACATTCCTCACCTCCAGCATCTTGTTCTCTTCCAAGCCTGGGATGGAGCCAACCAACTGAGGCTGAATGGGAGAGGAAGAAGGCACCCCCGCTGCTCCAATGTGGTCTCTCCTTCCCTTAAAGGGGACGCTGTTATTTATTTTTTCCCCTGCACAAGGGTGCCTCTCCACTGTAGAATGAAAGCAGGTTGATACTATTTTATTGCTGTGGAATCCTAGAAGGTGTGGTTTTTACAAGGTCTACACTTCTCTTCTAGCAAGTGCTGGGGCCTTTCCTAAACTACATCTCCCAGGATTCTTTATCCTAGGAGATATGAAATGGAGCAGACAGAAGAGCTTGAACTCTTTGCTTTCTCATAGTTTGGTGTACACAAATTTGTTTCGTGTTTGAAATTATTTTTAAAATACTGTGTATAAAGTTATTTCCAGGCTATGGTATTATCAAATCTCTGTAACTCCCTATTCTAAGATTTATAGTTCACCAAGGCCTCAGTAATAAATATATGATTTCCCCATTTTAACAGACCCTTCCCAGACTTTGAAGCATCAGAAGATTGAGACCGAACCAAGAGCAGCTGTTCACTCATAAACTGTATATAATAAATTGTATCTATCCTTCATGATTTGCTATATAACATGTATCTTTCTACATACTGAATCTGTTTCATATAGACATATCTATCTCTATCTATCTATCTATCTACATAGATATAGCCCCCGGTGGTGCAGCAGGCTAAACCGATGAGCTGCTGAACTTGCTGACCAAAAAGTTGATAGTTCAAATCCGGAGAGTGGGGTGAGCTCCCACTGTTAGCCCCAGCTTCTGTCAACCTAGCAGTTCGAAAACATCCAAATGTGAGTAGATCAATAGGTACTGCTCTGGTGAGAAGGTAACGGTGCTCCATGCAGTTATGCCAGCCACATGGCTTTGGAGGTGTCTTAGCTCTTTGGCTTAGAAATGGAGATGAGCACCACACAACAGTTGGAGGCAACTAACTACTTAATGTCCGGGAAAATCTTTACCCCATATATATATTTATAGTATAAACTTCCGCCTTGTTTTGTTGAACGTCTTCCTTGGTTAAATTGATGTATACCATCTTAGCCCCAATAATTTTAGTTGAATTTTAAGAGCTCTGGTGTGGGCTGGTCCATGGGGTCACAAAGAGTTGGAAGCAACTGAATGAATAAACAACCACAAAGGATCTAAAACAGTGGTTCCCAACCATTTTTTGACCAGGGACCACACTGACCAGGAACCATATTGACTAGGGAGCACTTTGACCAGGGACCATGTTGACCAGGAACCACGTTTACCAGGCACACCTTAACCAGGGACCATATTAACTAAGGACTACTTTGACCAGGGACCATGTTGACCAGGAACCACGTTTACCAGGCACACCTTAGCTAGGGACCACATTGACTAGGGACCACTTTGACCAGGGACCACATTGACCAGGGACCATGTTGACTAAGGACCACGTTTACCAGGCACACCTTAGCCAGGGACCATATTGACTAGGGACCACTTTGACCAGGGACCATGTTGACTAGGGACCACTTTGACCAGGGACCATGTTGACTAGGGACCACGTTTACCAGGCACACCTTAACCAGGGACCATATTGACTAGGGACCACTTTGACCAGGGAGCACTTTGACTAGGGACCACATAACCAGGGACCACTCTCTAATATTAGTACCAAAAGGATTACGAATCAATTTTTGGTCAACTTTCTGTTTGGTTATTTGGGATTCTGATTCAGAAAATTGCATAGGATAGACCACATCAGCTCTAGTTTCTGATACAGAACATTTGCCATCCAGTAGTTACCATCTGCTTGCCCACAGAAAATAATATTTAATAATCTAGAGCTGATGTGGTAGTAGTAATTTTTCGTGGGTAGTCGGCCTCTCCCCTCCCGACAACCCATCACTATAAAAGGATTTAGCGAGACCAGTTGCTCTCGTTGCTGCATGGTTTCGAGGCAACAGTAGTAATGGTGAGGCTGCTGACCATATTTTCATAGTTGCATACCACTGATGATCCATGGACCACAGGTTGGGAACCACTGGTCTAAAATGTTTAAAGTGTGAATGTACGTGTCTTGTTTATTTAAGCTGTTTTTGATTTGTTATTTGTACCTTCAGCATTGAATGTTTGCCAATGTGTTTTATTTTGCTGTAAGCTGCCCTGAGTTCCCTTGGGGAGATAGGTTGGGCTATAAATAAAGCATTATTATTATTATTATTATTATTATTATTATTATTATTATTCAAAATGTTCTTATCTCAAAGAGATTTTTCCATTGAAATGCTAGTAAAACGTTCTAGCCTCCTGAAAGCCCCCGTCCAATTTTTTGACACTTGTTTTTAAATAAGAAAATGTACTTTATAAATAACAAATAAGGTATGAATGCACATTCACATGGAGCAATAAAAAGAAAGATCAACTTTAAAATGGCAGAAGCATGAAAATTGTGGCAACGAAGCACCAAGTGAAGAGGCAGACACATCCATTTATTTTTCATACTATCCTTATTCCAGCCCCTCTCCCTCTCTTGCTCTTTCTCCCTCCCTCTTTTCATGAAGCCAAACATACCAGGTATTGAAGGAGGCCTCAAGGGTCTCTGAGTAAGGGGCTTTTGGGTGAAAAGCTAACAAAATCAGCAAAAGAGATAAATACCCTTTCTCTGACTTAAAAAGAGCAATATGGAAGAAAGTGTTTTTCTAAGAAACAAGATGTGACATTTAGAAGGTACTTCTTACACAGGATGTTTGTGGTTAACTTCAAATGTTGTTTTTGAAGCGTAGAGGCCACGTGTACAAGGAAGGTACTTTCCATCAAAAAGGTCAGAATTATTATTCATAAAAGGTGTTTTCCCTGAGCTTTCTGTTTGTAATGGGCTATAAAAGTTTGCAGATTTCAAGGAAGGAACACGGCAGCCACTTGAAGGATAGCATCTGCGTAATGCTATCAGGCTGTTCGTCTTCTTCATGAAGAAACTAAAAAATAAAACCTTAAGTTTTTTTTAATCTTTCATTGGAACTGTCTCCATCCTTCCGTGCTCCCGCGACGTGGACCTAAAAAGACCCAATCTAGGGTCTCTAACATAATTTGAGCGCTCCAGCTGGAGGTCACCTGTGACCAGCAGTGCTGTTGAATTTGAAGAGGCACGAATGGAGGGCGAAAGAGAGAAACATGCTAAGAGGAAGGCGCATCAAGCCAACCCCGACCGGAACCACCTTCCACCTAGAAACCGATGTTCTTACTGTGGAAGAACATGCAGGTCAAGAATAGGGCTCCACAGCCACCTATGGACCCACTGCCAGTACACCGATCTTGGAAGACAATGAGGGATTGCCTAAGTAAGTACTCTCACTGATTGACTCTGCAGCTTCCATGGCTACTCAATGCTCTTCAGGCTTGCCAATTGCAACACTTACATTTGCTCCAAATAGAGAAGGGTTCTTTCTCCCACCCTGGACATTATTCCACAGGTACATATATACACTCCACTTGCCTCATTGTCAACAGAAGATGCCACTAGCCACAGATGCAGGTGGAACCTCAGGAGAGAATACAGATGGAAAACAGCCCAAAACACTCACAGCAACCCAGTCTCCTATTTTGTTCTGTCTTGGAAAAGGGGTTTATCTGCCTTGGGGGGTCTCCTCTTTAGCTATGGGGGTTCAGGCATTGCTGGTCTTTGATCTGGAGGGCCTCTGGACTCTGTGACCCCTTTGTGCTGGGGGCTAGCCATCCAATGGGGACCTGCCTCCTCCTTGGCCCAAACCCCAAGGGAAGGTCAGTAGATAAGAGGGTCTCCTTTCTCTCCCTCCAAAACAATGGGAGGCTCGCCCCACCCTCTGGAAGGAGAAAGCCCTATCCTCTCTCCTTGCCCCCTTCCACACAGCTGTACAAAATCCACATTGAGACTCAGGAAGAGGACTAGGCTTGGGAATCTCAGAGACTACATCCTCGGCTTGTTTTTCATTTGATGCTTCACCAAACTAGGGCTCCCACTGAGCCAGGTCAGTTAAAGTGGTGCCAAACTGCATTAATTCTACAGTGTAGATCAGGCACGGGCCAACTTGGGACCCTCCAGGTGTTTTGGACTTCAATTCCCACAATTCCTAGCAGACTACTTTTCCTACTTACCTTTCTTTCTTCCTCCCTCCCTGTCATTTTCCTACCTTCCTTTCTTTCTCCTTCCCTTTCCTTTCTTCCTCTTTTCTCCCTCCCTTTTTTCTACTTACCTTACTCCCTCTGCCATTTTCTACCTTGCTTTTTTTCTCCTTCCCTCCCCTTTTCCTTTACTCCTTCCCTCCTTTTTTCCTCCTTACCTTGCTTCCTCCCTCCCTGTCATTTTCCTACCTTCTTTTCTCTTTCCTTCCTTTTCTCCCTCCCTTTTTCCTACTTACCATTCTCTCCCTCCATGTCATTTTCTTTCCTTCTTTCTTCCTTTTCTCCCTCCCTTTTTCCTACTTATCTCTTTCTCCCTCCATGTCATTTTCCTTTCTTCCTTTTCTCCCTCCCTTTTTCCTACTTTTCTTTCTCCCTCCATGTCATTTCCCTTCCTTCCTTCTCTTTCTTTTCTCCCTTTTTCCTACTTAGCTTTCTTTCTCGCTCCATCATTTCCCTCCCTTCCTTCTTTCTTTTCTTCCTTTTCTCCCTCCCTTTTTCCTACTTACCTTTCTTTCTCGCTCCATCATTTTCCTTCCTTCTCTTTCTTTTCTTCCTTTTCTCCCTCCCTTTTTCCTACTTACCTTTCTTTCTCGCTCCATCATTTTCCTTCCTTCTCTTTCTTTTCTTCCTCTTCTCCCTCCCTTTTTCCTACTGACCTTTCTTTCTCGCTCCGTCATTTCCCTTCCTTCCTTCTTTCCTTCCCTCTTTTTCCTACTTAGCTTTCTTTCTCCCTCCGTCATTTTCCTACCTTCCTTCCTTCCTCCTTTCATTTTTTCGTCCCTCCTTCCCTCTTTTTCCTACTTACCTTTCTTTCTCCCCGTCATTTTCCTACCTTCCTTTTTCTCCTTCCCTCCTTTCTTCCTCCCTCCTTCCCTCCCATTTCCCACTTACCTTTCTTTCTCCCTGTCATTTCCCTTCCTTTTTCTCCTTTTTTCATTCTTTCTTTCCTTCCTTTTCTCCCTCCCTCCTTCCTTCATTTTCCTACTTACCTTTCCTTCTCCCTCCGTCATTTTCCTACCTCTTTCTTTCCCCTTCTCTTTCTTTCCTTCCTTTTCTCCCTCCCTCCTTCCCTCATTTTCCTACTTACCTTTCCTTCGCCCTCCGTCATTTTCCTACCTCTTTTCCCTCTTCCTTTTCTCCCTCCCTATTTTACCTACTTACCTTTCTTTCTCCCCATCATTTCCTACCTTCCTTTCTCCTTGTTCTTCCTCTTTTCTTCCCTTTCTGCTTCCCTTCTTTCCCCCTTTTCTACCTTTTTCTCCCTACCTGTAATTTTACTATCTTCCTTCCTTTTTCTTCCCCCTTTTTCTTCATTTTCTCCTTCCCTTTTCTCTTTCTCTTATTTTATTTTCTCCCTCCTTCCTTCACTCTTTTTCTTCCTTACCTTTCTTTCTCCCTCATTTCATTTTTTCTACCTTCCTTTCTTCCTCCTGCTCTTTTTCCTTTTTTCTTTTCTACCTCCCTCCTCCTTTCTCTTCTTTCTTCCTTCCTTTCTACCTTCCTTCTTTCCTCCTTCCTTCCTTCCTTCCTTCCTTCACCTTCCTTCCTTCCCTCCTCCTCCTTTTTTCCTTCCTCCCTCCCTTTTCCTCCTACCTTTCTCCCTCCCTCTCATTTTCCTATTCTTTCCACCTTCCCTTTCCCCCTTTTCTCCCTCCCTCCCTTTACTTATCTTTCCTATCTCCCTCCCTGTCATTTCCCTTCCTTCCTTTTTCCCTTTCTTTTCTTCATTTTCTCATTTCCCTCTTTTTCCTACTTAAGATTGATTTCTTCCTCCCTCCTTCCGTCATTTTCCTTTCTTCCTTTTTATTTCCCTCTTCCTAATTTCTTCCTTTTCTTCCTCCCTCCTTTCTTTCTTCCTCCCTCCCTTGTTCCTGCCTGCCTGCCTTCCTCCCTTAGTTCCCTCCCTCTCTATCTTTATTTCCTCCTCTTTTCTTTCTTTTCCCCCTCCCTCCTTCTCTTTCCTACTTCTCTGACCAGGAAGACAGCTGAAGGGGCGACCTGCGAGGAGCAGCCCAGTCCTTTCTGTAGCCTATACAGAAGCCCTTTGTGCACTACATCTGGCCCATGAACCGAGTGTTGTGCAGGCCTGGTGTAGGTGAACCAAGTACGTATTGTGCAGGCCTGGTGTAGGAGAACCCACAGTGCAAGATTCTAATCCAGGTATGGGCAAACTTCAGCCCTCCAGGTGTTTTGGACTTCAACTCCCACAATTCCTGGCTTCAGGCCCTTAATTTTTGCTCCCAAAGATGCACTAGGTCTTATTTTCAGGGGATGTCTTATTTTTCCATGAAGAAGAATTCACATTTATTGTTGAACAACAAAAAAAGAACATTTATTATATTCTGTACAGTAGTAGTCTGGTCACACTGGTTGCCTGACTCACACACAGGATCGCAACAAATAAGGGCTGTAAAATGCCTGACTCCCATACATTGTTAGGAAATTGTGACAATCTCCCACACCAGTTCTTGGACCACTTGTACAGCAGGGATGATATTGTAGCTTCCGGTGACCAGGGAGAGTAAACAAAAACTTTGCTAGCTTGTACTTTCAGGGAAGGCCTTATATTCCGTAATTTAGCAAAACCTCTACTAGGTCTTATTTTCAGGGGGTGTCTTCTTTTCGGGGAAACAGAGTGTATATCTATCTAAATAATAATGTAATGTTCGTTTGTGGGATTAACATAACTCAAAAACCACTGGACAAATTGATGCCAAATTTGGACACAAAACACCTATCAGGCCAATAAGTGACATTCAAAAAATTGATTTTGTCATTTGGGAGTTGTAGTTGCTGGGATTTATAGTTAACCTACAATCAAAGAGCTTTCTGAAGTCCACCAGTGATGGAATTGAACCAAACGTGGCACACAAAACTCCCATGACCAACAGAAAACACTGGAAGGGTTTGGTGGGCATTTACCTTGAGTATGGGAGTTGTAGTTCTCCTCCATCCAGACAGCACTGCGGACTCAAACAATGATGGATCTGGACCAAACTTGGCACGAATATTCCATATGCCCAAATATGCACACAAATGGAGTTTGGGGGAAATAGACCTTAATATTTGGGAGTTGTAGTTGCTGGGATTTATAGTTCACTTACAATTAAAGAGCATTCTGAACCCCACGAACGACGGAATTGGGCCAAACTTCCCACACAGAACCCCCATGACCAACAGAAAATACTTAAGGCCTTCCGGTCCATCTCCCTTCACCAGGGCAAGAAAATGCAATCAAAGCCCTCCTGATAAAGAGCCATCCAGCCATAGATATAGATAGATAGATAGATATGATTCACACACAGTGAGATATAGTATCATAGATTTGAAAGGGACCCCTAAAGAAGGACAATTCTATGTTGCATGTTCCAGAGTAGGCAAACCAGACAATCTCCACATCAACACTGACAAAGAAACAACAAGAAATACTGTTTACCCACAAGCAGAAACCAACACTTTCATATTATTTTCCAGATCACCAGACTGAGCCACAGCAATGCGTAGCAGGGGACAGCTAATACACACACACACACACACACACAATGTTCCCTTGCTACTTTATGGTTTGCTTTTCATGGACTTGCTTTTTCACGGGTTTTTGCCTCCCAGTTTATGAATGGTTGAAGTTGCCTAGAGCAGCGTTCTAATCCCACCTCCTTGCAACGATGGAGTGTGGAAGGGGGTTTCACCCTCCCAATTGGGAGGGAGGCAGCCAATCAAGAGAGATTGCAAAGCAAAGCAGAGATAGCTAGCAAAAAAAGTGCACAGTGCCTTTAAATCACTTCTGCCTCACCCTTGGAATGTGATATACATATATAGCATACCTACTTTGTGGATTGTCACTTTTTGCGGGTGGTCCTGGAACATATCACCTGCGATAAGTGAGGGAACACTATATTTGTGTGAGGATGGCTGGAGTTGCACTTAAAATGTACCTGTTTTGACATAAACAAATTATACAAACCGACAGAACCTATCTTGTTCATAACTTGGGGACTGCCAGTATGGTGTTCAGGACATATTCTTATAGAATCATAGAATCACAGAGTTGGAAGAGATCTTGTGGGCCATCCAGTCCAACCCCATTCTGCCAAGAAGCAGGAAAATCGCGTTCAAAGCACTTCCAACAGGTGGCCACCCAACCTCTGTTTAAAAGCCTCCATAGAAGGAGCCTCCACTACACTTCAGGGCAGAGAGTTCCACTGCTGAACGGTTCTCACAGTCAGAAAGTTCTTCCTCATGTTCAGATGGAATCTCCTTTCTTGTAGTTTGAAGCCATGGCTCCACGTCCTAGTCTCCAGGGCAGCAGAAAACAAGCTTGCTCCCTCCTCCCTAAGACTTCTCTCATATTTATACATGGCTATCATGTCTCCTCTCAGTCTTCTCTTTTGCAGGCTAAACATGCCCAGCTCTTTAAGCCACTCCTCATATGGCTTACATGAACTCTTGTTATTAACAGGAGCTACATTAATAGTGGATACCTTACTATGGTTTATCCTGAAAGTGAAATGAAGGAAAGCTTGGATTCCCAATGAAACATTCCCAGATTTCATAGAATCATAAGAGTTGGAAGGGCAGGGCCATCTAGTCCAGCCCCCTGCCATGTAGATTTCATAACCTTTTTTCCTTACGTGGGTTCTCCAATTTGATGTGGGATTTTTCAGCATCTTAATAACTCTTTCAACTGCCTATGAATTTATTGGGCTTCTCCGCAGTATAGCTTCTTTCAATATGAAGCCTATTTTACATGGAAGAATGTATTCTCGAAGGCTTTCACGGCCGGAATCACTGGGTTGTTGTAGGTTTTTTGGGCTATATGGCCATGTTCTAGAAGCATTCTCCCCTGATATTTCGCCTGCATCCACGGCAGGCATCCTCAGAGGTTGTGAGGTCTGTTGGCACGTAGGAAAATTGCATTTATATATTTGTGGAAAGTCCAGGGTGGGAGAAAGAACTCTTGTCTGTTGGAGATTGGTATGAATGTTTCAATTGGCCACCTTGATTAGCATTTGATGGCCTGACAGTTTTTAGGTGTACCCTGTTACTGCCTGGGGGAATTCTTTGTTGAGAGGTGATTAGCTGTTCCTGATTGTTTCTTGTCTGGAGTTCCCCTGTATTTGAGTTTTGTTCTTTATTTACTGTCATAATTTTAAGAGTTTTTTAAATACTAGTAGCCAGATTTTGTTCATTTTCATGGTTTGTTCCTTTGTGTTGAAATTGTCCACATGCATGTGGATTTCAGTGGCTTCTCTGTGTGGCTTGACATGGTAGTTGTTAGAGTGGTTCAACATTTCTATGTTCTCAAATAATATGCTGTGTCCAGGTTGGTTCATCAGGTGCTCTGTTATGACTGATTTTTCTGGTTGAAGTAGTCTGCAGTACCTTTCATGTTCTTTGATTCGTGTCTAGGCAATGCATTTGGTGGTCCCTATGTAGACTTGTCCACAGCTGCATGGTGTCCGGTAGACTCCTGCAGAGGTGAGAGGATCCCTTCAGAGACTATGGAAGGATTTCCCACAGTCTCTGAATTTACTCGATTTCTGCCTGCGTGCATTCTTCGATGTAAAGCAAGACTCTTATTTGTACCGAAACATTTCCCACACTCCAGACATTTAGTGGACATTCCCTTTATGTGCATTTTTTGATGCTTCTTAAGGTTTCCACTGATGGTGAAGCTCTTTCCACACTCTGTGCATTTATATGGTTTCTCCCCGGTATGAATTCTCACATGAACAATGAGGTGTTCGCTCCGACTAAAGCTCTTTCCACACTCCATGCACTTGTAGGGCTTCTCCCCTGTGTGGGTTCTTTGATGGACTCCAAGGCTTCCTTTGTCTCTGAAGTCTTTCCCGCACTCCATGCACTTGTATGGTTTTTCATCCGTGTGCGTTTTCAAATGTAAAGCCAGCACTCCCGTCCTGCCAAAGGACTTTCCGCACTGCGTACACTGATACGGTTTCTCCCCGGTGTGACCTCTTTCATGTCTAACGCGGCACGCGTTATCGCTGAAGCTCATTTCGCACCATGTACATTTATAGGGTTTCTCCCCGGTGTGGATTCTTTCGTGTGATTGTAGATGTGCGCTCTGGTTGAAAGTTTTCCCGCACTCCGCACATGTATATGGTCTCAGCCCGCTGTGGATTCTTTTGTGTATTTTCAGGTTTCCACTCATGCTGAAGCCTTTCCCACATTCGATACACTTATACGGTTTCTTCCCTGTATGGGTTCTTTTATGTACATTAAGGTGTCCGCTACTAATAAAGCGCTTTCCGCACGTCATACACCTATATGGTTTCTCTCCTGTATGGATTCTCTGATGGATAGTAAGGCTTTGGCTGTCCATGTAGCTCTTCCCACATTCCAGACATTTGTATGGCTTCTCCCCATTGTGGATTCTTTGATGCGAAGTCAGGTTCCCTCTTCCACTGAAGTTCTTTCCACACTGCATGCATTGATACGGCTTTTCGCCAGTGTGAAATCTGATATGTTTAGTCAGGTTCCCGCTGTTGATGAAGCTCTTTCCACATCCATAGCACTGATATGGTTTCTCCCCTGTGTGTGTTCTTTGATGCACAATAAGGTTTCCACTTATCCTGAAGCTTTTCCCACAATCCGGGCATTGGTATGGTTTCTCCCCTGTATGCAGTCTTTGATGTGCAATAAGATACCCTTTCGAAGAGAAGCCCTTTCCACATTCCATGCACTCGTATGGTTTCTCCCCTGTATGGATCCTCTGATGTACAGTAAGATTCCCGCTCTCATTGAAGCTCTTCCCACATTCGGTGCATTTATAAGGTCTCTCCCCTGTGTGGGTTCTTTGATGGACTCTAAAAATTCCACGGTTACTGAAGCTCTTTCCACACTCCAGGCACTGATATAGTGTCTCCTCTGTGTGGATTTTTTCATGTTTACTTAACGCCGTTTGATATTTGTATATTTTCCCACACACCGGACACTTTCTAATCCTCCTCTTTTTGTCATTAATCGGAACCCCAAGTTCACAGGCATCCATACATTTCGAGTCAGGGGATTTGCCCCTCTTCTGTGCTTTGTTTCCTTTATACCTCTTTGGTCCCATTTCAGTCTGTAAGGTCTGTTTTTTCACTCCATGCTTCCCTGCATTTGATGACATCACAGAATTCCCATTGTCTTTGCCATCACCTGCAAGGGAGGAGCAGAAACAAAACATCCGGATGTTAAATAAGGCCTTTTGATTCCACCCGTTGGGAGACCAAAACGTACAAGAATGAGGGTGAAAGCAAATATATGATCCATTCTATAATTTAATTCACTGAAAAGGAATGACTCCTTTTTTTCTCTCTGGAGGCAGACAAATCTACTGGGAACTGGGAAATTAAGAAGAGTGTCCAGATCTGTAGATTTCTGGAAGGCTTTATTTCAAAAAAGCATACATTGGGGTATGAAACAAAATTCCAACTGACAGTTTATTTCCCTCATGCCTCCTATCCTTCACCCTGGCCTCTCCCCTTCATTGCTCCTGTTTCCAAACTTTCTCCCTTGTTTGAAATATACACCATCCAGGTCTAATTTCCTGGCTTCACACAAAAGCAGGAAATAAGCTCATGACAAAGAGGAAATGATACCTATGTGGACAAAGTCTTTTTCAAGTTATGTGAAAAATAGCCCATTATAAATAAAAAGAAAGCATGATGCTCTTTTCAGTAAACCCTTTCTCAGAGTTAGAGAAGTTGGCACTTGACACAGTACAGGCAGTCTCCAGGTTACGAACAAGTTCTGTAGGTTTGTTCTTAAGTTGAATTTGTACAGAAGTCAGAACAGGTACATTTCTTAAGTGTAACACCAGCACCGTTTTTTAAAGTTTTGGGAGGCTCAAGGAAGGGTAAACATCTCTATAACATTTGTTTTGCTGTCTTTGCCCTGTTCAAAACATTCCACCTCAGTTTTCTGTTGGATTTTGAATATGTCAGGTTGTTGCGGAAACAAGGAATGGTGATGAAGCTTCAGTGGAGACACCTTTCCCCCATGATAACTCTTACAGGAGTGCAATTCCCTTCCTGTTGTCTCGGGGACAGGAGGTGAGATTGAGTCTTTCTAATGAGGATACAAACAGCAAGAAAACCCGCACAGTGGCTCTAACCCAGTGATTCCCAACCTTTTTTTTTGACCAGGGACCACTTAGATCAGAGACCACTCTCCAACATTACTATCAAAAGTGTTACAAATCAGTTTTTGGTCAACTTTACATTTGGTTTGGTTATTCGGGGTGCTGATTCAGAAACTAGCATTGGATAGACCACATTAGCTCTAGTTTCTGATACAGAACATATGCCATCCAGTAGTCGCCAACTGCTCGCCCACAGAAAACCATATATAATTAAAAATCATAACAGTAAATAAAGAACACTCAAAAACAGGGGAATTCCAGACAAACAATCAGGGCCAGCTAATCATCTCCCAACAAAGGAGTAAGAAGCCAGACCATCTTATTATAGAGAGAAGCCATTGAAATCCACAAGCATGTGTACAATTTCAACAGAAAGGAGGAAACCATGAAAATGAACGAAATATGAATACCAGTATACTCTAAAATCAGGAACAGTAAATAAAGAGCACACTCAAAAAGCAGGGGAATTCCAGACAAAAATAATAAGGGCAGCTAATAACCTCCCAACAAAGGATTCCCCCAGGCAGTAAGAAGCCAGACCTTGAAACTGCTGGGCCATTAAATGCTAATCAAGGTGGGTCAATTGCAACATTCACACCTACCTCAAGCAAACAAGTTCTTTCTCCCACCCAGGACATTCCATAGATATATAAACCCCATTTTCCTAGTTTCCAAGAGACTTCACAACCTCTGAGGGTGCCTGTCATAGATGCAGGTGAAATATCAGGAGAGAATGCTTCTAGAACATGGCAATACAGCCTGGAAACTTACACCGGAGCCCCTGGTGGCGCATTGGGTTAAACCCCAGTGCCGGCTGGACTGAAGACCGACAGGTTGCAGGTTCGAATCCGGGGAAAGGCAGATGAGCTCCCTCTATCAGCTCCAGCTCCTCATGCGGGGACATGAGAGAAGCCTCCCACAAGGATGATAAAACATCAAAATTATCCGGGCATCCCCTGGGCAACGTCCTTGCAGACGGCCAATTCTCTCACATCAAAAGCGACTTGCAGTTTCTCAAGTCACTCCTGACACGGAAAAAAAAAGCCCGGAAACTCACAACAACCCATATTTAATAAGCCTTGGTACTATAAGAGGGTTTTGCAAGACCAGTCACTCTCGTTTCAATGGTGTTGTAACAGTATGGCTGTGGTGCATATTTTAGTTCTTGCAGCCCCTGGTGGTCCACGAACCACAGGTTGGGAACCACTGTTTTAACTACACACCATACTAACCATAAAGAACCCATAAAGTTTGCATAGAGTTCTACTTTAAATACAACTTGGACAGATGTTTGCCTTAACATATTATTTATTTTTACCTGTGCATGTAAATGCTTAGACATTTTCAAATATGGTAGAGTACAACCTTAAGCTATCTTGGTAGGGGATGAGACTCATATTACAGAGTCAGAGTCTGATTCTGCTGCTGGGGTCTGTTTATTGCAGGAGGCCTCAAAGAGGGCTTGCACACAGCTTTTCTTCTTCTCGGCGTAAATAGCCCTGTAGCATCTCAGACTGTCTGTAACTGCACAGTAAGCTTTGGCGAACCTCGCTGCATCAGGATCTTGCTCCTCTAACTTTGCCATTCCCGCTTCGATGAGACAAAAAGCATCAGCTAACTTTTTGGTAGAAAACTTTTTCAATGTTGCCATTTCTAACTCTGGGGTTTCTTCCTTAAACGGTATCATCTGCTGCTCTAGGTCCGTAAAGGCTTCTTCGTTGGTTAGTTCTTTGCCCGGGGACTCGAGTAACTCTATGATATCATCTTCGCTGATGCCCAGTTGCAGTTCATTACCAATAGCGACCACAGCTCGCCTGGTTTCGGCAATTTCGTCATCTATACGCTCAAGAAACCCTTGTGTGAATTGCGGGCACAATTTCTCCCAAGCTCCTTTCATGTTTGTATCTTTCACTTCCTCCCAAGCCCCAGCAATGTTTTTGATGGCGTCGTGAATGCTATAGTTCTTCCACAACTCCTGCAAAGTCATCTCACCCTTTTGGGCAGCTCTGACAGCCTGTGAGAAGGCCCTCCGTAAATAATGGGCCTTAAAAGAGGCAATGACTCCTTGATCCATGGGCTGAAGGAGTGAGGTGGTGTTGGGGGGTAGAAATGCCACCTTGACATTGGGATGAATGTCGCCCGAAATGTTTCGATGTCCTGGGGAGTGATGGTCAAGGAGAAGGAGGATTCTGAAAGGAATGCTTTTGCCCAAGCAATAAAGTTCGACAGCGGGGACAAAATGCTCCAAAAACCATTCCTGAAAGACCGCTGCTGTCACCCACGCCTTTGGATTCGCCCTCCAAATAACAGGAAGAGATGTTTTGGTGACATTATGCAGTGCCCTCGGATTGAGGGAGTGATGCACGACCAAAGGCTTGAGCTTCAAATCCCCAGATGCATTACTCCCGAGTAATAGAGTCAGCCTGTCCTTTGAGGCCTGATAACCCGGCGGGCTGTTTTCCTCTTTCAAAATGTAGATCCTCTCCAGCATTTTTTTCCACAACAAGCTAGTTTCGGCCACATTAAAAATTTGGTCTGGCAAATAACCTCCGTCGTCAATCATATCTTTCAATATCTTAGGGAAACCACTTGCGGCGCTTACGTCGACACTCGCTTCGCCGTGAACTTTAATATTACGCAAATTTGCTCTTTCTTTAAAGCGACTGAACCAACCCCTGCTTGCGACAAATTCTTCATTGCAATTGCCTACGCACGCTGTCCGGGCGGCTTTCAACTCATTGAAAAGGCTTCGCGCCTTTTCTTGCACTAAAGGAAGACTGATAGGTAGATTGCGCTGATTTTGAACTTCTATCCAAACTGTCAACAGCCGTTCCATCTCGATAATTAAACCGCTGCGCTGCTTGGTAATAATCGTCGCGTTCATCGGGGCATGGCTTTTCACATGCTCCATTATTCTAGCCTTGTCTTTTAAAATGGTTGCGATCGTCGAACGACTGTAACCAAATGCTCTTCCAATGGATGACGGCGTCTCGCCTCTCTCCGATCGCTTTATGATTTCTACTTTATGTCCCATGGTGATGGTTTTTCTTTTCTTGGCTGTAGGACCAGCACTTGCACCAGATTTGTATTTTGGCGGCATTGTTGCAGGGTGTAAATAACAAGCGCAGCAGCGTTACAACTACTGGGATGCTGCGCGGTATGCTTTGGCTGTGGTCTGGTGCCTGTTCGTAAGTACGCGTCGTACGCAAGTCGGATGTTCGTAACTTGGGGACTGCTTGTGCTAGGCCAGTGCTAACAATTTCCACCTGCAGAGAAATAGAAAATGGTCTTTGGCTGGCATTCTATTACATACATAACTGTAAGTCCACGTTGCACTTATGTACAGTATGTCTCCCTCAACTCCCTTGGACATTGAGGAGTTTGGTATCTCCTTCCTTCCTCATTTTACAAAGTCTAAAGCTCCAGGACTTTTGGTTGCACTGTGGTAGCCCTTCCCAGAATGGCTAATCTGTTGCTCATGGAAGAGATCAGAGAAGCGTCTGGCTATGTTTCCCCTTGCCAGATGCAACCCAATGATCCCATCCAGGAGGATTTGTTGAGGCACTGGTAGATCTTAGTGGAAGATATCCTCTATTTCTCATCCCCCTACTCTTCTAGGTCATGACAACTTTAAAGGAATTTCCAGTGGAAACATATAATTTCATTTCCTAGAGGAAATATAACATTCTTAGAAAAGATATACCGTATATACTCGAGTATAAGCAGAGTTTTTCAGCCCCTTTTTAAGGTTGAAAATGCCCCCCTTGCCTTATACTTGAGTCAAGGTTATTTATTATTTTATTCTGTTGTTGTTGTTATCTTACTGTATTTATTATTATTATATTATTTTACTCTATTATTTTTATTACATTTATTTATATTTATTATTATTTTATTAATATTATTTTATTAATTTCAAAATCAGCATGTCAACGGCTTAAATCTAGAAACAGTTTTCTAAGATCTACAGAAACACTCACTGGAACACCTCAGCAAGCGAGAGTCCAAAAGTGGCAGGCTCAAACCTAGAACCTAGAACCGCTTGGCGGGGACGAGAGACAGGGCCTTCTCAGTGGTGGCCCCTCGGCTATGGAATGCCTTGCCGGCAGACATCAGACAGGCACCTTCGTTGCTGGCATTTCGGAAAAAGGTTAAGACCTGGCTTTATGAACAGGCGTTTGGTTGAACAGTGCAATCAATCAAGGTAGACGGTAAATGGAACATAGGAATGGCACAAGGATTATGAGAACGGATCTGATTTCACTGAGGCGCTATGTTGTGTGTGTTAACTGTCCTGTTCTGTTTTGTTAACTGTTGTGGATTGATGTTGTTGATCCTGTTTGTCGCACTTGTTGCGTTTTAATTGTACTGACACTGTTAATAATTTGTATCATGTAAACCGCATAGAGTCGCCTGTCTGGGCTGAAATATGCGGTATAGAAATAAAGCAAATAAATAAATAAATAAATATGGCTGATACCAAATGAGAGACTCCCCCTGGGCACACAGAAGACTGGGCGACTTGGAAGGCACTGAACAGACTGTGCTCCGGCACCACGAGATGCAGAGCCAACCTTAAGAAATGGGGCCACAAAGTGGAATCCACGACATGCGAGTGTGGAGAAGAGCAACCACTGACCACTTACTGCAATGCAACCTGAGCCCTGCCACATGCACAATGGAGGACCTCCTTGCAGTAACACCAGAAGCACTCCAAGTGGCCAGATACTGGTCAAAGGACATTTAGTCAACTACCAAACTCTCAAATTTTGTATTTTGTCTGTCTGTTTGTTTGTTTTGTTCTGTTAGAAATGTAATACAATTGACTGGTTGTCCTGACACAACAAATAAATTAATTTATTATTTTACTCTATTTATTGTTACTATTGTTATATTTATTTATTAATGTTATTACTACATTTATTATTTTATACTATTATGACATTTATTATTTTACTTTATTATTGCTATTATTACATTTCCGTTAATTACTCTATTTATTATTGTTATTGCGGCATTTATTATTTTACTCTATTATTATTAGAAGGCTACATTAGCACATTTACATTGAAGAAGGTTAGAATAATGGTTTAATCAGAGCTGGGCAGTCTTATCTTAAATTATAATTTTATGCAAATATTCAAAAACATTTAACCTACGGATGCCTCAATGTAATTTTATTGGTATCTATTTTTATTTTGAAATTTACCAGTAGCTGCTGCATTTCCCACCCTCATCTTATACTCGAGCCAATATGTTTTCCCAGTTTTTTGTGGTAAAGTTAGGTGCCTCAGCTTAGATTCAGGTCAGCTTATACTCGACTATATAGTGAAAATGCAAATACAGATTGGCAGGGACAGGGAACGTACTGCATAGTAATAATTATGATATCAGGAAAAGGTATATCTCTATGACTAGGATAACGAGATGGGGAGCAGAGCAAGGGAAGCCACGGTCCCACTCTATTACGTTTTGGTCAGAACTCATTTGGAATAACCCTGTGTCCAGTTCTGGGCACCACCATTCAAGGGTTTGGACAAGCTGGAATGTGTCCAGAGAAGGGCGATCAAAATGACCAAAGGTCTGGAAACCATGAATCTCCACAAGGTGTGGCTTATTTATTTATTTACGACATTTATATCCCACCCTTCTCACCCCAAGGGGATTCAAAGCAGTTTACAAGTTATACGTACTTACAATATATTATATTATTAGCATAGCACAATATTAGCATTATATATTACTATATTTTACTATACCACTAAACTGCAATTTTATTAGTATTATATTGTATTACAATCCTATGATCAATATTATGTGTATATACAATATTATGTGTATATACAATATTATTAGCATAATATTAATACTATATATTACTATATTGTACTATACCACTATACTGCACTATTACTAGTAATATTATATGTCATATATAATATACAATTACTATATCGTGTTATTATTAGTATTATATTGTATTACATTATAATACTATAATCAATATTATATGTATATACATTATTAGCACAATATTAATATTATATATTACTATATAATATGTCCAGACAAGGATCTGCAAAGAAATACTATGAACTTATTATTATTTTAAATTAGTACTAAATCAATCCAATAAAAATATTACCCCAGGACTGTGTACATTTGCTTATTTCTCCCAAAAACTATATTGTTGCTGGTGGGAGGGGCTCCCAACTGATGACCCAGACTTAGGGAGTTGGGGATGTTTACTTTGGAGAATGGAAGATTAAGATGAGGCTAGGGATCTCTGGTGTTTTTCCAAACTACAGTTCCAAGAATTCCACAAGATAAAGTCAAGGTGGTTAAAGTGGAATCACAACATTATAATTATGTAGTGTGAAAATGACCAAGGCCTAGTCCTAGTCACTCCTTTCCAGAGCATTCTTGCTACAGTGCAGTGCTAACTTACTAACTGTAAGTGGTACTTATTTTTCCCTTCTCTCCAAATTCACCCTGTTGTTTAATTATTTATGCCAGCGGCTCTTAATCTGTGGTCCATGGACTCCCGGGCACCCACCATGTCCAGACAAGGATCCGCAAAGAAATACTATGAACTTATTATTATTTTAAATTAGTACTAAATCAATCTAATAAAAATATTATCCCAGGACTGACTACATTTGCTTATTCCTCCCTTCTCTCTGAATCTGAAGCCCCTGATGAACAACCTGAAATGCACATTTGAGTTTTAAACCTTGAGTAAAGCCTTTGTAGTCCAAAGGCATATTTAAAAGGGTGTCCATTGTGAAGAAAAGGTTAAGAACTGCTGAATAAGACTAGGACTGAAGTGGTGACAAGCTGCATTAATTCTACAATGCAGATGTACCCCCAGATCCCTATTGATCAAGGGAAGAATGTTCTCACCCAGAGAGGTCATATTATCACAGTTTTCCATCACGACTCCTTATGGAAAGCCCTTTGGCTATGGTCCAGGGGATTCCAATTTTCCTGGGTGAAATACACAGCCACCTCTTCAAAGACTCCTGAAAAGAATAACGATAATAATATTTGTTTTCTATCTATTTCTTTATTTTGTGTCAAAAGCATTGCATAAATAAACAAGTATAAAACTGATAAAATAGAGTGAACACAATCAGTTAAATTATTTTAGACCAAAAACGGGCAACAGCGAGGTTATGAGGATGCCTGCCACAGATGTGATGAAACATCAGGAGAGAATGCTTCTGGAACATGGCCATACAGTCCAGAAAACTCACAGCAACCCAGTTATTCTGGCAATGAAAGCCTTTGACAAAACAAAAACAATTGCTGTTTTCCCACATCTCTGTGGCACTAAGAGACTTCCTGCCACCTCCTCATGAGAAAGTCAGGGAAATTAAAGTTTTGAGCTGCCAAAAACAGCAGCAACGTTGGCACAGACCCTTTTCCCCACCTCCCTCGCTGCCCAGACCGCCCCGCCCCCCCTTGGGTTCCTTTGCTTCGAAAACCCTATTTCCCTCCAACTGCTCAGAGGGTGCTTTGATCGTGCTTTTCCTGCATGGCAGAAGAGGGTTGGACTGGATGTATATATACATGTGGTTTTGCGCATGCATTGTAATGTAATTTTTGTTTCTTGGCTTTTTAAGTCTCTTCTGTTGTGTTTTTCAGTGTTTTTATAAGTGATGGTCACTCACTGAACTGATAGGTGTATTGTGTCCAAATTTGGTGTCAATTCATTTGGTGATTTTTGAGTTATGTTAATCCCACAAACAAACATTACATTTTTATTTATATAGATAATATAATGATAACAATAATTTTATTCTTGTATCCTGCCACCATCTTCCCAAAGGGACTCAGAACAGCTTACATAAGGCACAAGGTGGCTATTTTTTATTTTCTTAATTTATTCCCAACATTTCTACCCTGCCCTTCTCAACACCCCCCCCCCCGGAGGGGGGGGGGAACTCAGAGCAGTTTACACGGGCAACAATTCACAATTCGATGCTGCAACAAATATGACAGATATAACAGCAATTTAAACGATAAATAAAACAATGTATTAAAAAGTTAAAACATTATTATCAAAATCATATAGCCTAAAACAACACATGACATAAAACACAATATAAAATACAACTAAATAAAACATATAAGCATGTAACAACAAGATAAAACTCAGAATAAAACAGTGCAAATAAAACAGAATAAAACATCCCTTAGTGGCGATAGCTAATGTAAACATGGCCAGGATGTAAACAATAGGGTCAAGGAATGGGAAAAGTACAGAGCTGTAACCATGGGACAAGGCTACAGGGATAAAGTGCAAGGCTGCATAACAAATTCATAGATCAGCTAGGAAACTAGTAATATATAAACATTTCTTGAGGCTTCATGAGAAGTTTTTGCTTCAAGAAAGGGCTTCACAGCTGCAAAGCTTTTACCTCATTCCCCAAAGACCAAAAGGAAAACGTTCACTCTGCTCCCTCCTTTGCCATATTCCCTTCCTGCAACTGCTCTCTCACCTGAGCAAACTTCACAGCTGCCTTTTCACTTTGAATGGAAAGAAGGGATGGGTTGGATTAGGACTGTAATGCCACCGTTCTGCCTGTAGAGGGAGACACAAGAATCATAAGTGGAGCCATGGGTATATGGTGAATGTTGCAATTGGCCACCTTGATTAGGCAGGCAGGAAATAGCCTGGCTTTGAAGCTGAAAAGCCATTCAATGCTAATCAAGCTGGCCATCTGCAACAATCACACACTTGCCTCAAACAGACAAGAGTTCTTTCTCTCACCCTGGACATTCCACAGATATATAAACCTCACTTGCCTAGTTTCCAACATACCACACAACTTCTGAGGTTGCCTGCCATAGATGTGGGCGAAACATCAGGAGAGAATGCTTCTGGAACATGGCCACACAGCCCGGAAAATTCACGACAAGCCAATGTTTTTTTTCATGGTTGTAAGCCGCTCCGAGACCCTTTTTGGGAGATGGGGCGGGATATAAATAAGGTTATTGTTATTATTATTATTATTGCAACACTATGTAACAAAATTTGAAAAAAAATCTGCTTGTTTTGAAAGTGTTATTTCCTGTTTCATTGTGCAGTACTTACTTTGAAAGTAGTTGTTCTACTCCAGAAACTTTGTTTTTGTGGCTGCCACTAACTATGCTGAATTGATTGAGACTCAATGAAATATTAATTGAAAAACTAGTGCAAAATGTGTTATAGCAGGGTGTCCCAGTGAAACTAAGTTTTTGCAGTTTAATAAACTTTCCACATGTTTTTATAATAGAACCAATTAGGAAATGACATTTCATATAATCATAAAGATCTCATGGGCTATCCAATCCAACCCCCTGCCAAGAAGCAGGAAAATCTCATTCAAAGCACCCCCAACAGATGGCCATTCAGCCTCTGTTTAAAAGCCTCCAAAGAAGGAGCCTCCACCACACTCTGGGGAAGAGAGTTCCACTGCTGAACAGCTCTCATAGTGATGAAGTTCTTCCCAATGTTCAGGTGGAATCTCTTTTCATGTAGTTTGAAGTCAATGTTCCACATCCTAGTCTCCAGGACAGCAGAAAACAAGTTTGCTCCCTCCTCCCTATGACTTCCACTCACATATTTATCCATGGCCCTCATCATGTCTCCTCTCAGCCTTCCCTTCTGAAGGCTAAACATGCCAGCTCTTTAAGTAGCTCCTCATAGGGCTTGTTCTCCAGACCCTTGATCGTTTTAGTCACCCTCCTTTGGACACATTCCAGTTTGTCAACATCTCCCTTCAACTGCGGTGTCCAGAATTAGACACAGTGTGGATTCCAGGTGTGATCTGACCAAGGTAGAATAGAGGGAAACATGACTTCTCTGGATCTTGACACTTGACTCTTATTGATGCAGGCCAAAATCCCATTGGCTTTTTGAGCTGCCGCATGACATTCCTGGCTCATGTTTAACTTGTTGTCCACGAGGAACAAAAAATCGTGTTATATATTGCAAGAATATCAATAGTTGTATATGTATGTGTGTGTGTATATATATATAGATGTTGTTTCTCCCAAAACATGGGCCTCAAGATGGATAACAACGTGTTCAAAACAACTGGAATTTGAAACAACATTCATATCAGAGGTAAAAAACAACAACACACTTTACCTATTTATAAGTTAAAATATTATGTGTATGTGTTTTTTTTATAGATAGATAGATAGATAGATAGATAGATAGATAGATAGACAGACACACACTCACTAGTGGTCCCCTGCCACGTTTTGCTGTGGCCCGGTCTGTATTTTTTTTTTTTTGGCTTTTTAAATCTCTTCTGCTGTGTTCTCCAGTGTTTTTATGAGTGATGGTTACTCGTTGGCCTGATAGGTATCTTGTGTCCTAATCTGGTGTCAATTCATCCAGTGGTTTTTGAGTTATGTTAATCCCACAAACAAACATTACATTTTTATTTATATAGAAGACTAGCCGTCCCCTGCCATGTGTTGCTGTAGCCCAGTCTGTGTATATGTGTATTTATGTGTGTGTGTATATATGTGTGTGTGTGTGTGAATTTGTGCATGCATTATAATGTATTTTCTATTTTTTGGCTTTTTAAGTTTTAAGTGATGCGCATTATGTATTTTCTATTTTTTGGCTTTTAAGTCATTTTCGCTGTGTTTTTCAGTGTTTTTATGAGTGGTGGTCACTTGTTGGCCTGAGAGGTGTCTTGTGTCCAAATTTGGTGTCCATTCGCCCAGTGGTTTTTGAGTTATGTTAATCCCACAAATGAACATTACATTTTTATTTATATAGAAGACTAGCTGTCCCCTGCCACATGTTGCTGTAGACCAGTCTGTGTATATGTGTTTGTGTGTGTGTGCATATATATGCTTTTTTGTGTATATATGTGATTTTGCACATGCATTATAATGTATTTTTTATTTTGCTTTTTAAGTAATTTCCGCTGTGTTTTTCAGTGTTTTTAGGAGTGATGGTCACTCGTTGGCCTGAGAAGTGTCTTGTGTCCAAATTTGGTGTCCAGTGGTTTTTGAGTTATGTTAATCCCACAAACATTACATTTTTATTTATATAGACTAGCCATCCCCTGCCACGTGTTGCTGTAGCCCAGACTGTGTATACGTGTTTTGTGTGTGTGTATATGTGTATTTGTGTGTGTATATATGTGGTTTTGTGCATGCTTTATAATGTATTTTCTATTTTTTTGGCTTTTTAAGTCATTTCCACTGTGTTTTTCAGTGTTTTTATGTGTGATAGGTGTATTGTGTCCAAATTTGGTGTCCATTCGCCCAGTGATTTTTGAGTTGTTAATCCCACAAACGAACATTACATTTTTATTTATATAGAAGACTAGCTGTCCCCTGCCACATGTTGCTGTAGCCCAGTTTGTGTATGTGTGTGTGTGTGTGTATGTATGTGTATATATATATATATATATATATATATATATATATATATATATGCATTTTTGTGTATATATGTGGTTTTGCGCATGCACTGTAATGTATTTTTTATTTTTAAGTCATTTCCACTGTGTTTTTCAGTGTTTTTATGAGTGATGGTCACTTGTTGGCCTGAGAGGTGTCTTGCATCCAAATCTAGTGTCAATTCACCCAGTGGTTTTTGAGTTATGCTAATCCCACAAACCAACATTACATTTTTATTTATATAGATAGATATCCCCTTCTACAAATCCAACTACACAAAAGCCATCCCTCAATAGCAAAGGGGAGGCGTGTTACCAGGAAGGGCCTGCAACCAAAAGGATCCTGCAAACAAAACCTTACAGATAGGCCAGCTGAAAACAAACCACATAAACAGCCCCAACCAAGAAGCCTGAGCAAATGGGGCAAACTGCTGTGTGAGATGATCCCCACCCAAAGTCTCCCTTCCACCCACCCATGCCTTCCTTCCTTGCTCGCCCCACCGGCAGCCCTCACCTCTTTGTGCTCCCCTCCCCAGGCACCCGCCGCCTGCGCTTCCTCTTCCTCCCTGAGCCCGACCGGATGCTGGCCTGGCCGGATGTTCCGGGACACTTCCTGCTTGTCTAGGGACCAGAGTGCAGCTGGCTTAACCCTTGCAGGGCTCTGGTCTAGGCAGCGCCTCTCCACTCCGCCCCCAAGGCCTGGAGGGTTGGGCTACTGAAGAGCTACCTAGCTGGGCATCTGTCTATCACAATATTTATCTGTCTCAATATCTATCTACCGGAATCTCTGATTATCTGAATAGCTATCTCTATATATCTATCTGAATATCTATTATCTATCTATCTGAATAGCTATCTGAATATCTATCTGAATACCTGTCTATCAGATTATCTATCAATCTTTCTGAATAATCTATCTGATTATCAGTCAATCTATCTGAATATCTACCTACCTACCTGAATATCTATATTTATCTGTCTATCTGAATAGGTATCTAAATATCTATCTAACGATCTGTCTATCTGAATATCTATCTATTTGAATATCTATTTCTATTTATCTGAATATCTATCTGAATACCTGTCTATCAGAATATCTATCAGTCTTTCTGAATAATCTATCTGAATTTCTATCAACCAGTCTGAATATCTACCTACCTACCTGAATATCTATATTTATCTGTCTATCTGAATAGGTATCTAAATATCTATCTAAAGATCTGTCTATTTGAATATCTATCTATTTGAATATCTATTTCTATCTATCTGAATATCTATCTGAATACCTGTCTTATCAGAATATCTATCAATCTTTCTAAATAATCTATCTGATTATCAGTCAGTCTATCTGAATATCTATCCATCTGAATGTATCAATCTGTCTGAATATCTACCTACCTACCTACCTACCTACCTACCTGAATATCTATATTTATCTGTGTATCTATCTAAATATCTATCTGAAGATCTGTATGTCTTTCAATCTATCCATCTGAATATTTATCTGAATATCTCTTTGAATACCCGTCTATCTGAATATTTATCTGAATATCCATCTGAATACCTGTCTAATCAGAATATTAATCTTTCTGAATAATCTATCTGATTATCAATCATTCTATCTGAATATCTATCTGAATATCTATCAAACTGTCTGAATATCTACCTACCCACCTGGATATCTATATTTATCTATCAGAATATCTATCTAAATAGCTATTCTGATAGACCAAGAAAATCCAACAAATGCTATGTTCAGCAAAGGACAAGAGGGATCCTCTTACCTCTGCAGGAGTCTACCGTATGCCATGCAGCTGTGGACAAGTCTACATAGGGACCACCAAACGCAGCGCCCCAACACGAATCAAGGAACATGAAAGGCACTGCAGACTACTTCAACCAGAGAAGTCAGCCATAGCAGAGCACCTGATGAACCAACCTGGACACAGCATATTATTTGAGAACACAGAAATGCTGGACCACACCAACAACCACCATGTCAGACTACACAGAGAAGCCATTGAAATCCACAAGCTTGTGGACAATTTCAACAGAAAGGAAGAGACCATGAAAATGAACAAAATCTGGCTACCAGTATTAAAAAACTCTAAAATTACAACAGCAAAACAGCAGAGAGGAAACAACCAGGCACATCTTAACACCTCTCAACAAAAGGTTTTCCCAGGCTCAGGCAGGCCTTCAAATGCTAATGAAGGTGGTCAGCTGAAACATTCACACCTACCTCTAGCAGAGAAGAGCTCTTTGCCCCACCCCAGCCATTCCACAGATATATAAACCCATTGTCCTAATTCCAACAGACCTCACTACCTCTGAGGATGCTTGCCCTAGATGCAGGTGAAACGTCAGGAGAAATGCCTCTAGAACATGGCCCTATAGCCCGAAAAAACCCACAAGAACCTATCTAAATATCTATCTGAAGATCTGTATATCTGTCTATCTGAAGATCTATCTATCTGCATATCTATATCTATCTGAATATTTATCTGAATATCCCTCTGAATACCTGTCCATCTAATTATCAGTCAATCAATCTGAATATCTATCTATCTGAATATCTATCAGTCTTTCTGAATATCTATCTACCTACTGAATATCTATATTTATCTATCTGAATATCCATCTAAATATTTATCTGAAGATCTGTATATCTGTCTGTCTGATCTATATATCTGTATATCTATCTGAATATTTATCTGAATATCTGATTACCTGTCTATCAGATTATCAATCCGTCTATCTGAATGTCTATCAATCTGTCTGAATATCTGCCTACCTGAATATCTATATTTATCTGAAGGTCTGTATATCTTTCTATCTGAATATTTATCTGAATATCCATATGAATACCTGTCTATCTTAATATCTATCAATCTATCTGAATAATCTATCTGAATATCAATCAATCCATCTGAATATCTATCTGAATATCAATCTGTCTGAATATCTACCTACCTGAATAGCTGAATAGTCCATCTGAATAGCTATCTAAATATCTATCTGAAGATCTGTATATCTTTCTATTTATCTCTCTGAACATATTGGTATATCTGAATATCTGTCTGAATATCTATATCTGAAAATCCATCTATCTGAATTTGCAAAGCTAAAGGTTTTCCCCTGACATGAAGTCCAGTCGTGTCCAACTTTGGGAGGTGGTGCTCATCTCCATTTCTAAGCCGAACAGTCGGCATTGTCTATAGACTCCTCCTAGGTCATGTGGCCGGCATGACTGCATGGAGCGCCGTTACCTTCCTACCTATTGATCTGCTCACATTTGCATGTTTTCGAACTGCTAGGTTGGCAGAAGCTGGGGCTAACAGCAGGAGCTCACCCCACTCCCCGGATTTGAACCTACGATCTTTCGTTCAGCAGCTCAGTGCTTTAACCCACTGCGCTACTGGGGTATCTATCTGAATATAAGTCAATCGGTCTGAATATCCATCTATCTATTTGAATATCTTATCTGTATATCTATCTGAATATCAATCAATCAATCAATCTCTCTGAATATCTATCTGAATATCTGATAATCAATCTGAATTATCTATCTGAATATATATCTGAATATCTCTGTCTTAGTATCTATCTGAATATCTGTCTTATATCATCTCTCCATCTATCTATCTATCTATCTATCTATCTATCTATCTATCTATCTATCTATCTAGATCAGTCTGCCTGCCAGTACCTACCTTCTGCTGCCACTGGCTGTCTTCAAATGTCTGCTGCCTTCTGCCTGTTGTTGCCTTCCTTCCACTCCCTGCCTTCCAGTGTGCAGACAGCCCCCAAGTTGCAAACATCTGACTTACAAATGACTCATAGTTAAGAGAGGAGGTGACACAACAGGAAGTGAGAGAAATCCACCCCTCAGGAGGGAAATTCACTCCCGAAAGAGTCATCATGGGGAAAAAGTGTCTCGAATGAAGCTTTCTCACCAATTCTTGTTTCCACATGCCAATTTTTTCACGATCCAATTCTCACAGGGACAGAAAGTGACGGGAAATTTTCTGAACAGGGATACAGGCAGCAAAACAAACATTACAGGGGTGTTAACCCTTCCCTATGTGATCCAAAGCCTGCCTGTCACTGCCTTAACTTCCAGTGCATATTACTATCAGCAACTGCCTGCCAGTATCTGCTTGCCAGTGCCCAACACTACTTGTCACTACTTGTCACTGCCTGTCTGTGCTTCTACTGTTGTTTACCACTATCCGCCTTCGACTACTTGCCACCATCTACTGCCTGCCTTCAAATTATTGCCATTATCCACCTTTTATGGCTACTTCCACGACATACCTCCAATTACCTGTCACTGCCGGCCTATCTGTACTTGCCAATGCTTGCCACTAGATCAGCGTTTCTCATCCTGGGGGTCGGGACCCCTGGGGGGGGGGGTTGTGAGGGGGTGTCAGAAGGGTCGCCAAAGACCATCAGAAAACACAATATTTTCTGTTGATCAGGGGGCTTCTGTATGGGAAGTTTTGCCCAATTTTATAGTTGGTGGGGTTCAGAAGGCTCTTTGGTTGTAGGTGAACTATAAATCTCTGCAACTACAACTCCCAAATGTCAAGGTCTATTTTGTTACAGTAAGTTGTAGCAGGACCAAGTGTGTGTGTGTTGAAGAAAAAACTTATTATGGCATTATTATGTGCAGCTGGTAATGTAGGTCAACCAGCAATCTTGGGTATAACTGTATGAGTTTTTAGAATAGAGTTCTGGAGAGCTTTTACTCTGAGGAGATCTATGCTCGGGTTGGAGAGAAGCCGTTATGCTCCGGCCTAGCGTACCTGACCAAACGTATCTCCTTCTACGTCCCACCTAGGAGTTCAAGATCTTCTGGCCCTGCTCTCAGCCCCACTCCTGTCACAAACACGGTTGGCAGGGACAAGGGCCAGGGCTTTCTCGGTGGTGGCCCCCCTGCCTGTGGAATTCACTGCCCCAGGGAAATTAGGTTATCTTCATCTCTCCTCTCCTTTAGAAGGAAATTAAAAACGTGGATGTGGGACCAGGCCTTTGGGTAATCTTGCAGACTTGACAAAGACAATGTCGACAATAGCTATGGACAAGCTGAATGGAGTCTTCAATTACAGAACACAGCGAGACAATGGCCACCAGACGGGCTTTCTTTTCTGGTGGATTTTATTGCATCCTCAGAGGTTGTGAAGTCTGTGGTAAAGTAGGCAAGTGGGGTTTATATATCTGTGGAATGTCTGGGGGGCGGGGAAGAGAAAGAACTCTTGTCTGTTGGAGGCATGTGTGAATATTGCAATTGGCCACCTTGATTAGCATAGAATAGCCTTGCAGCTTCAAAGCTTGGCTGCTTCCTGCCCAGGGGAATCCTTTTTTAGGAGGTGTTAGCTGGCCCTGATTGTTTCCTGTCTGAAATTCTGAGCATTGTTCTTTCTTATATTTGACAACAGCGGCATCTGGTGGACAATTTGAGTCAATTCAGAAATTCCTTTTTAGGTGAGCAATGTAATGCATACAAGGGAAATATCTGCCAGAATAATTCCAACAATTGATTTTTGATTTTGATTTTTTTTCTCTCCCTAAATTTGATTTGTTTTTTTCTCTCTCCCTAAAATAAAATAAAGGGGGGGAAAGGGGGGGGAGACTTCAATAATAAAGTAACACAGCACAGAAAGGAGAAAAAAAAAACACTTTTTAAAATTCATAGTTTTCTGATGTTTGTGGGGGCTTTGTGCCCCTAATCCCAGCAAATATGCAGGGATTTATTTCTTTATTTGCAGTATTTATATTCCGCCCTTCTCACCCTGAAGAGGACTCAGAGCAGATCACAGAACACATATACGGCAAACATTCAATGCCATTATACACTGACAAGATAAGACAACTGTACATAGAGGTATATATAGGCTTTCCCATATTCAGCATCTTGGAGGCTGTGCTTATTTCCAGCCATAGGAAGGTGCTGTCGCTCCATCTTCCCTGCCAAAGAGCTTTTGTTCGTAAACTTCCTCCTTGATTGAATCGCTGGCATTTCCTTATGGTGTCTTAAATACCTCTCTGCTTTTAAAGCAGTACCTATTTATCTACTCACAATTGCTGTTTTTAATCTGCTAGGTAGACAGAAGCTGGGCTGAAAGTCAGGAGCTCAACCCGAGCCAGGCTTTGAACAATCAACCTTTCGATTCTCAAGATTTTACTGCAGCTGGAGGTTAACGAGCTGTGCTAAAGCCCAGCCCTATGGGTCCTTTGCCACCGGAGCCACTGTTTTCCCAGTGTGAGATACAAATCCACCAGCCTGTGTTAAATAGTCCTTTTCAGTCCCGTGTGGGTTTTCTCGTGTGAGCTAAGGCCCGCTTTTTGACTGAACCCCTTCCCGCAATAGCCACACTTGTAGGGCTTCTCCCCGGTGTGCAGCCGCATGTGGGTCATGAGGTTTCCCTTCTGGTTGAAGCCCTTCCCGCACACCAAGCAAACAAAGGGATTCTCTCCGGTGTGGATTCGCTCGTGGATCACAAGTTTGCACCTTTTAGGGAAGCCTTTCCCGCAGTGGATGCACTTGTGGGGGTTCTCCCCGCGGCGCATACGCTCGTGGATGGTCAGGCACCGCTTCCGGTTGAAGTTCTTCCCGCAGTCCAGGCTCTTGCACGGCCGCTCCCCGGTGTGCATCCGGACGTGCTCCCGCAGGACTGAAGAGCGCCCAGAGCTCCTGCCGGAGTACGAGCATCGGTATGGGGCTTCTCCAGAGTGGAGTATCTGATGATCTTTGAGGCCTGACCTAGAACCAAAGCTTTTTCCACAGTTTAAATACTTATAGGGGTTTGGCTCGTGGGCCATAGAATTCTGCGTCTGGAGGACATTGCATGCGTTCATGTTTTGACAATTCGTAATGTGCATGTTTTGACAATTCGTAATGCCTGAGCCCTGCCCAAAGCTTCTTCCATGATGGAAAGATGTACTGGCCGCCACACTGTATGGGACGTTTTGCTGTTCTTTGAGCTTTCTTTCCTTGTCACTCTCTCCTGGATGGAGAACGTCTCCCTTGATACTTTTCTCACGGCTACTCCCTTGATCGCTCACCAATTCTTGTTCATTTCCAACCATTATTCCCTTCTTAAAGTACTGGAGATCCTTGTCTCTTGTCAGAGAGTCATCGTGTATTTTCTCTTGCTCCTGATCTTCCTGGTGAACAGTATTCATTTCGTTCTCCTGCACCTGTTTGTTACCTGCTGGAGGAGAAACCCAGAAATATAGGTTGAGCCCTAGTTAACAAATGAATATGTGAGATCACCAATGAATACCAGATACTTTAGGCTATATTACAGAGGCAAAACCAGGTAGGTAAATGTTTCCCCTGACATTAAGTTTCCCCTGACATCAATGGTACCTTACTGGTGTAAGGTACCATTTCCATATTAACTTACAGTAATTTTGTCCGACTCTGGGGAGTGCTGCTCATCTCCATTTCTAAGTCAAAGAGCTGGCATTGTCTGTAGACATCTTCTAGGTCATGTCGCCAGCATGATTGCATGGAGCGCACCTTCCTGCAGAAGTGGTACCTGCTAGGTTGGCACAAGCTGGGCCTAACAGCGGAGCACACGCCACTCCCCAGATTCGAACTGCCAACCTTTCGGTCAGCAAGTTCAGCGGCTCTACAGTTTAACCTGCTGCACTACCAGGCGGCCCTTACTCCCAAAAATCCATGATATTCATGAAGTGGCCAAAACTTAACAGGGGACTTGAAGGCACACACAAACTAATGTTTCAGTTTAATTTTTAAAAAATAATAACTAAGATATATTGTTATTATATTTATTATAAATATTATTATATTTAGCCCACAGTGGGTGGAACCACCGAGCTGCTGAACTTGCTGACCAATAGATCAACAGTTCGAATTCACAGAGTAGGATGAACTCCTGTCATTAGCCTCAGCTTCTGTCAACCTAGCAATTCAAAAACATGCAAATGTGAGTAGATCTGCAGGACGTTAGTGAGTAGGTACTGCAGGACTTTAGTGGCCTGGTGTCTAGATCCAGGGAACTCATACTACCCCTCTATTTCGCTTTGGTTAGACCACACCGGGAATATTGTGTCCAATTCTGGGCACCACAATTCAAGAGAGATATTGACAAGCTGGAATGTGTCCAGAGGAGGGCGACTAAAATGATCAAGGGTCTGGAGAACAAGCCCTATGAGGAGCGGCTTAAGGAGCTGGGCATGTTTAGCCTGAAGAAGAGAAGGCTGGAGGAGATATGATAGCCATGTATAAATATGTGAGAGGAAGCCACAGGGAGGAGGGAGCAAGCTTGTTTTCTGCTTCCCTGGAGACGAGGATGCAGAACAATGGCTTCAAACTACAAGAGAGGAGATTCCATCTGAACATGAGGAAGAACTTCCTGACTGTGAGAGCCGTTCAGCAGTGGAACTCTCTGCCCCGGAGTGTGGTGGAGGCTCCTTCTTTGGAAGCTTTTAAACAGAGGCTGGATGGCCATCTGTCAGGGGTGCTTTGAATGAATTCCTGCTTCTTGGCAGCAGATTGGACTGGATGGCCCATGAGGTCTTTTCCAATTCTATGATTCTATGATTCTATGGTGCTCCATGCAGTCATGCTGGCCACATGACCTTGGAGGTGTTTACGGACAACGCCGGCTCTTCGGCTTAGAAAGGGAGATGAGAACCACCCCCAGAGTCGGACGAGACTAGACATAATGTCAAGGGGAAATCTTTACCTTTACCTTATCTCTCAAGGAGGAGACGCAAAGCCGCTTAGCATAAAAACATTAGAATGCAATTTAAAATATACAAATAGGAAAACATTAAAACAGAATTAAATACAAACAGTATTTTAAAAATCACGTTGTTGTTGTTGTTGTTGCTGCTGCTGTTGTTGTTGTTGTTGTTGTTGTTATTATTATTATTATTATTATATAAGCTGCCTTGAATCCTAGTACAGGAGAAAGTCAGGTTATAAATTCCATCAATCAATCCATCCTTAGTGGACTTGATGAAGTCAACTTCAAATCCATCACGGCTTAAATCAGTGGTTCTTAACCTGTGGGTCCCCAGGTGTTTTGACCTACAACTCCCAGAAATCCCAGCCAGTTTACCAGCTCTTAGGATTTCTGGGAGTTGAAGGCCAAAACATCTGGGTACCCACAGGATGAGAACCACTAGCTTAAATAATGTTTTAATCTCAAAAGTGACTCAGGACCAGCTTTCTGAATACCACCTAGTGCCTGTTTTAGACATTTACACAAAGCTCTTTGTGCAGTGTTTACATGCGGCCCGCTCATTGTTATTTTATTTTATTGTATTGTGTATGATTTTGCTTTATTGATTTTTGTACTCATATGTTGTATGTATTTTACTGTGTTGTTATTGTGTTTGGTTTTCTTCTATTGTAATATGCTGTTGGGCTTGGCCTCATGTAAGCAACTCCGAGTCCCCATTGGGGAGATTGTGGCGGGATATTAAATAAAGGTTACTGCTATTATTATTATTATTATTATTATTATTATTATTATTATTATTATTATTTCCTCTAGTTTGAAGCTATTGCTCCATTGCGTCCTAATCCCCAGGGCAGCAGTAAACAACCTTCCTCTCTTCTCCCTATGACTTCCCCTCACATCTTGATACATGGCCCTCATCATGTCTCCTTTCAGACTGCTTTTCTGCAGGCTAAAAGCTGAAGAAGACAAGGGAAAAGAAAAAAACTCCAGAGGACACCTTGAGAGCTGCAAATCCTTACCCGCCTCTTTATCCTGTGTTTCTTTGGAAAGCTGTGTATTCAAAGACTCCAGCAGCAGAACCTGATTTGCCTCAGAAGAATCCATGGTCACCTCCAGAAACGGGACTGACAACTGAAACAGTGAGAGCAGTGACCTGAGTATTGAGTTATGACTTTGTTCAGCCTTTGAACCTATTTGTCCAAGTCACACTCCTTCAGCCTCAGAGTGAGGCAAAAGCAATCCCCTTCTGACTAAATCCTGCCAAGAAAATCCCACGAGAGGGTAGCTTAAGGTCGCTAGAAGTTGGAATACCTTGGAGGCACTTGACAATAGCCGCAAGGAGATCATGCAGAGAACAGGAAGAAGTACACACAGAGATTCTGCTCCAGTGTGCCCTGATAACTTAATCCAGACACGACAGAGGTCCTACTGATCAGTCGCAAGGCCTAACAGGGCATAGGGTTACAACCTGTGTTGGGCAGGGTTCCACTTCCCCGGAAGGCGCAGGTTCACAGCTTGGGAGTGATCCTGGACTCATAGCTGAGCCTGGAACTTTTGCCAGCTGCACCGTACCTTGGGAAACCTGACTTGGCCATGGTGGTCTGCGCTCTTGTTACATCCCGAATATACTACTGCAACACACTCTACGTGGGGTTGCCTCTGAAGACTGCCTCCGGGCTTCAACTAGTCCAACGTTCAGCAGCCAGGCTGCTCACTGGGGCTGGGTACAGGGAGCACACAACGCCCTTGTTACGCCAGCTCCACTGGCTGCCTATCAACTTCCGAGCACAATTCAAAGTGCTGGCTTTGGCCTATGAAGCCCTTAATGGTTCTGGCCCAGTTTACCTGTCTGAATGTATCTCCCGCTACGATCCACCTAGGGCCCTAAGATCATCTGAGGAGACCCTGCTCGTTGTCTCCCCAATGTCACATTTTTGTAATTAAAAATACCTAGTTGATTTTTAATATTTCTGAATAGAACCACCTGTTTTGGGCCCAGAACAGAGGGAAATAAAAAGGAAAGGACTGGCTGTTGTTAGGTGAAGTAGCCCTCTGTAATGTGACTGAGAAAGAAAGCAAATGAAGTCGATTGGCAGCTGTTAGGTGACATGTGTATGAGGGGAAGGGAGAGGAAGGAAGGAAGGAAGGAAGGAAGGAAGGAAGGAAGGAAGGAAGGAAGGAAGGAAGGAAGGAAGGAAGGAGAAAAATAAGATGAAGGGAAGAAAAGACAAACAAACGAAGGGAAGAAGAAAAGAGGAGAGGAAGGAAGGAAAAAAGAAACAAAGAGGGCAGGGAAAGGTATATGAGGAAAAGCACGGAAAGATGGAAGAAAGGAAGAAAAGAGAGGGGGAGATGATGTATGAGGGAAATGGAGAAAGGAAGAGCAACAAAGACAATGAGACCACCATTGCAAATTGAGACATTGTGTGCAGACCTTCTCAAAGCTGGAGAATGAAGAAAGCAGGCTGGTGTCTCTGACACCCAGGCAACGCCAGGCATAAACGCTAGTTAAATAAATAAATTGAAGAGGTGAATGATTCATACATGTAGATTCTTTCACCTTTTGTTCCGACCTCTCAGCCTCGCGCCATGCCAGCAGGAAGTCCTCTGCTAAAGCCACGGCCCGGGCGCAGGTCTCCGGTTTCCGATCCCTGACCCAGTTCTGCATGGCCATGGGCAGGATGCTGAGGAACTGCTCCAGGATCAGCAGCTCCAAAATTTCGTCCTTGGTGTGCCTCTCAACCTTCAGCCACTGGCTGCAAAGCTCCCGGAGGTGCCCATACACCGCTCTGGGCCCCTCCGCCTCCCGATAGCGGAGCTGCCGGAAATGCCGGCGCTGCCTCTCCCGCATCATGGCTTCCCCTTCCAAGATGGCAGTCTTCACCTTGCCGTAGTCCCCTTGGTCTTGGGAACTGAGGGTGCTGAAGGCTTGCTCGGCCTCCCCGCTGAGGGCTGGCTGGAGGAAGGCCACCCATTTGTCCCGAGGCCAATGGCAAGCAGATGCAACTTGCTCGAAAGAGGCCAGGAAAGTCTTTGCGTCGTCCCAAGGTGCGGGCTCTGCGGATACCCAAACGCCTGGAGCTTGCAGCGCCCTCAGGAACTCCTGCCACTGGGCTTCCCAGAGCTCCTGGCGCCCCTCCGCTGGCTCATGTTTTATGGGGCATGGAGATACCTGTATTGAGGATTCCCCTGTACACCCTATACGTCCAACTTCTAGGTCTTTTGCTACCCGGCTAGTTCTTTCCCATGCTTTAGAGTGTGTGGTGTCTTGCTCCTCCATTGCAAAAACTGGAGCCTTGTTGCTCCTTTCTTCTCCTGGTTGTTTCCTCCTAGCCTTCCTTCAAATTTGGCGGAATTTGCACACTTTCAAGGAAGCTCTTCCTCTGAAGTTGTTGCCAAAAATATTAGGAAAGACTGTTTTCTGGACTGATCCCACAGCCAAATATCAAGGATGGGTAGCAATGTTTTCCAAATCAGAGAGAGGGGATTCTCCTGTAAGGAAAAGATAAGAAAAGAGCCATGTTAAGAGTTGAATAACTATATCAAAGGCCCCTTCTACACTGCCAGACAATCCAGATTGTCAAAGCAGATAATCCATATTATTTGCTTTGAACTGGATTATATGAGTCTACATTGGGCTGCGGTGGTGCAATGGGTTAAACTGCTGAACTTTGTATTGTCGAAGGTTTTCATGGCCGGAATCACTGGGTTGTAGGTCTTTTGGGGCTATATGGCCATGTTCTAGAGGCATTCTCTCCTGACGTTTCGCCTGCATCTATGGCAAGCATCCTCAGAGGTTGTGAGAGGAGAGAATGCCTCTAGAACATGGCCATATAGCCCGAAAAACCTACAACAACCCAAACTGTTTGAACTGTTGAATCTGCTGACCTAAATGTTGACAGTTTGAAGCTGTGAGTCAGGGTGAGCTCCCGCTTTTAGCCATAGCTCCTGCCAACCCAGCAGTTTGAAAACATGCACATGTGAGTAGATCAATAGGTACTGCTTTGGCAGGAAGATAAGAAAGGCACCCATGAAGCCATGCCAGCAACACAACCAGGAGGTGTCTATGGACAATAGTCTCCTCGGCTTGGAAATGGAGAAAGAGCACCTCCCGATGGTCGGAGTTGAGTACTGCCTCCAGAAGCTGGAAATGAAAGGGGAAGCGTTTACCTTTGTTTTGTGTATTTGTATGCCATTTTTATTTCACTGTATTAGAGGTATTGAATGTTTGCCTATCTGTGCATATTTATTTATCGTGTCATCAGCAACCATACCATTGTGTTACAATTCTAACAGAACAAAACAAACACACAGATTAAAAAGAAAAGGAAAACAAAAACAAAACAAAAAACACAGATTTTGCAAACTTGGTAGTTGGTTAAATGTCCTTTGACCAGTATCTGGCCACTTGGAGTGCTTCTGGTGTTGCCGCAAGAAGATCCTCCATTGTGCATGTGACAGGGCTCAGGGTGCATTGCAGCAGGTGGTCTGTGGTTTGTTCTTCTCCACACTCGCATGCCAAGGATTCCACCCTGTAGTCCCATTTCTTAAGATTGGCTCTGCATCTCGTGGTGCCAGAGCGCAGTCTGTTCAGCGCCTTCCAAGTCGCCCAGTCTTCTGAGTGCCCAGGGGGGAGTCTCTCATCTGGTATCACCCATGATTGAGGTGCTGGGTTTGGGCCTGCCACTTTTGGACTCTCGCTTGCTGGGGTGTTCCAGCGAGTGTCTCTGTAGATCTAAGAAAACTATGTCTTGATTTAAGTTGTTGATGTGCTGGCTGATACCCAAACAGGGGATGAGCTGGAGATGTCTCTGCCTTGGTCCTTTCACTATTGGCTGCTACTTCCGGCGGATGTCAGGTGGTGCAATACCGGCTAAGCAGTGTAATTTCTCCATTGGTGTGGTGAGATGTGTTCCACACTGGGCACGCATACTCAGCAGCAGAGTAGCACAGCGCAAGGGCAGATGTCTTCACTGTGTCTGGTTGTGATCCCCAGGTTGTGCCAGTCAGCTTTCGTATGATATTGTTTCTCGCACCCACTTTTTGCTTGATGTTCAGGCAGTGCTTCTTGTAGGTCAGCACGGTCCAAAGTGACTCCCACGTATTTGGGTGCATAGAATCATAGAATCATCTGTGCATAGAATCATAGAATTGGAAGAGAACTCATGGGCCATCCAGTCCAACCCCTACCAAGAAGCAGGAAAATCACATTCAACAGATAGTCATCCAGCCTTCTTAAAAGCCTCCAAAGAAGGAGCCTCCACCACACTCCGAGGCAGATGATTCTATGAACACCTACTACAATACAAACTGAGTCCTATCACATGCACAATGGAGGACCTTCTCACAGCCACACCAGAGGCACTCCAAGTAGCCAGTTTCTGGTCAAAGGAAATTTAGTATCACGCCAAGTTATTAACTTTGTTTATGGTTTTTTAAATACATTATAACTGTACCCTCAGTTTGCTTCTGACATAATAAATAAAGTGGTTTGACACCACTTTAATTGCCATGGCTCAATGCTATGAAGTCCCAGGGGTCTGCTGAGGATCCAGCACTCTTTGGCACAGAAGGTTCAAGACCTTGCCAAAACTACAACTCCCAGGAGTGTATACTAGCGAACCTTGGCAATCAAAATCAAGGGTCAAATTGCATTCATTCTGCCATTTCTCTCTTGCTTGCTTCCTTCCTGCTTGCTCAGTGCATTTCTCCCATCTTGGGAGTTGTAGTTTGGCGGGTCCTTGCCAAACTGCAACTCCCATGACTCCATAGCTTTGAGTGAGCCATGGCAGCCTGCTTCTCAATGGACCTTTCCCACTTTCCCCAAACATGGTCCCAGATACTCTTTGATGAACTCACCTTCCTTGCACCAGCTTTGCACCCTTGCAAAAAACAGAAACAAGAACCCCAAACAAGGCTGGCTAAAGAGAGGAGAGGAAATGTTTAAAAAGCCGGATTCCTAGGACTTCTGCAACACCTTTGCTTGCTTCCTTCCCTGAAAGAGGCTCTTCCCTCCCAGCCTTCCTTCCTTCCTCCCTTTCTAGGACTCAGATTCAGTTGCATTCGGTGGACTTAACCCCTTTTGGGCAAGCCCAGAGTTGGAAGGCATGTCAAACTACATTCATTCCTCAGTGTAGATGACCCTTCCAAGGAGTCTTTAGACATTACTTCCTGGATGGAAGACTGGGAGCATCAGAGAGGCTTTACAGCAGGACTGGGCAAACTTGGGGCCCCCAGGTGTTTTGGACTTCAACTCCCACAATTCCTAACAGTCCCTTCACTCACTTCCTCAAACCACTGTGAGATCAGAGGTGACCCCCCCCCCCGCCCCCCAGGAGTCTGTATAGTTCAAAATCAGGGAATTCATAGTTTTGCCAAGGACACCAGGCTAGAATGATCCCATAATCCCCTATCTCTCCCCCATGTGGGAACTTAAGGCTTCTTCCATGGCTCCACAAGGCAACGCCCCTCTAACCCAAACTAGCATCTGACCAATTTGGCTGTTATTTATTAATTGGATTCCTTTTTCACGAATGAAACTCCTGTTTTATGAATGGATTCCGCCCCCTCAGTGCTCCCACTGGCTTCCATGAACTCCCCATGAACTTTTGGGAGCTCTTGTGGATTTTCATAAACTTTCTAAGGACTCTTATGAACTTTTTCCAACTTCTATAAACTTTTGATGCTCAGGTGTTGGCGGTGGCCGGGAGGGCCTTTGCACAACTTAGAACTCGTGCACCAGCTGCGACCATACCTCGTGAAGTCTGACTTGGCCAGCGTGGTCCACGCCTTGGTTACATCCAGATTGGACTACTGCAATGCACTCTATGTGGGGCTGCCCTTGAAGACGGCCCGGAAGCTCCAAGTGGTACAACGGGCGGCAGCCAGGCTCCTTACTAGAGCAATTATAGGGAGCATACAATGCCCCTTTTAAAACAGCTTCACTGGCTGCCAGCCAGCACGTCAGTGACTTAAATCAAGAAATAGTTTTCTAAGATCTACAGAGACACTCGCTGGAACACCTCAGCAAGCGAGAGTCCAAAAGTGGCAGGCTCAAACCCAGAACCTCAATGAATGGCTGATACCAAATGAGAGACTCCCTTCTGGGCACACAGAAAACTGGGCAACTTGGAAGGCACTGAACAGACTGCGCTCTGGCACCACGAGATGCAGAGCCAACCTTAAGAAATGGGGCTACAAAGTGGAATCCACGACATGCGAGTGTGGAGAAGAGCAAACTACAGACCACCTATTACAATGCAACCTGAGCCCTGCCACATGCACAATGGAGGACCTTATAGTAACACCAGAGGCACTCCAAGTGGCCAGCTACTGGTCAAAGGACATTTAATCAACTACCAAGCATGCAAACTTTGGTTTGTTTGTTTGTTAAAAATGCAATACAACTGTTTGGTTTGCTCCTGACACGATAAATAAAATAAATAAATACTGGCTGCCGATAAGTTGCCAAGCCAAATTTAAGGTGCAGGTTATGACCTATAAAGCCCTAAACGGTTCGGGCTCCGCCTATCTTCGCGATCGTATCTCCCTCTATGAACCAGCGGAAACTTTAAGATCTTCTGGGGAGGCCCTCCTTTTGCTCCCACCACCGTCACAAGCACAGTTGGTGGGGTCGAGAGAGAGAGCTTTCTCGGTGGTGGCCCCCGCCTCTGGAACACCCTTCCTGGAGAAATAAGACAGGCCCCATCCCTCCCCTCCTTCCGTAAGAGCCTGAAGACCTGGCGATTTAAACAAACCTTTGAGAACGACTAGTTCTAGCTCTGCCCCAGATACTGTTGAAATTGGCCATATCTTCTTCTACTAATTCACTTTCTTCTATTAGGCCCTGGAAATGTACAGCCATAGACTCTACCTAATTTCCCAGGCCCTCTAAAATCGCACTAGTCTTGGCCCGGCTTTTTAAATTGCCTTGAACATGCAGGATTATTTTAAATGTATGTGCTATTGTGGTTTTTAATGCTTATATTGTCTTGTTAGTTTTATGTTTATGCTATTTTCTTTGTATGTACTGATGAAGATACCTATCCGACCGCATCTCGACCTACGAGCCCACCAGGACTTTGAGATCTTCCGGGGAGGCCCTGCTCTCGAACCCGCCTGCCTCACAGGCACAGCTGACGGGGACGAGAGATAGGGCCTTCTCGGTGGTGGCTCCTCGGCTGTGGAACGCCCTTCCTACGGACATTAGACTGGCTCCTTCCCTGATGATATTCCGCAGGAAATTAAAGACTTGGTTGTTCAAGAAGGCGTTCAAACAAGAAGTGCAATGATTGGTAATGACTATAGGAATGGAACAACAGAAAATGATACTGGATTGTGGTTTGGACGATGAGACGACGCGGAATGGCTTTTGTAGTAATGATGATGTTTTTTGATGATGATGTTTTTTGTTAATGCTGGATTGTGGATTATTTTATATTGTGTCTTGAATTTTGAACCTTGTTCTTTCTATGTTGTACACCGCTGTGAGTCGCCCCCGGGCTGAGAACAGCGGTATATAAGCAAAGTAAATAAATAAATAAATAAATAAATAATGATCTTTCTTGGAAACCGCTCTGAGTCCCCTCGGGGAGATAGAGTGGTATATAAATAAAGTTTTGTTTGTTGTTTGTTTGTTTTGGGAACCTTTATCAACTTTTGAGGACTTTTAGGACCTTTATGAACTTCAATGGACTTTGGGGGGCTGACGTGACTTTCCATTAGACCAGGGGTCCTCTAACATTTTAAACAGGGGGGCCAGTTCACTGTCCCTCGAACCGTTGGAAGGCGGGACTATTGGTTTTTAAAAAAAAAAAGATCAAATTCCTATGCATATTGCACATATTTTATTTTGAAGAAAACAAAACAAAACAAAATGGGAAAACACAATTTTTAGAATGAAGAATCACTTTAACTCAATGTTATGGAATCCTAGAGCTGCAGTTTGATCTTTTGGCAGAAAAGGCGAAACAGCTTATAAAAATTTAAATCCCAGGATTCCATAACATTATGCCATGGCAGTCAAACTGGTGTCAAACTGCATTCTGAGCCCATAATCGCCTATCTCTCTCCCATGTGGGAACCTAAGGCTCTTTCTATGCCCCCATGGCCCCACATGGCAATGCCCCTGTAATCCACACTTTTTGGACTTTTTGGTGAGGGGATGGGTTGATATGATTTATTTTCCCTCTTTTATGAATATATACCTTATGAACCCCATATATGTCTGTATAAAACATGAAATGTCACCTTTTCGTGACCTCACTATCTCTGAGGATGCTTGCCATAGATGCAGGTGAAATGTCAGGAGGGAATGCCTCTAGAACATGGCCATATAGCCTGAAAAAACCTACAACAACCCAACCCTTGTAGTATTCTTCTCCATTGAATCACGCTCAGTATTTCCTTAAATTTCCTGAAGTCAGCTCTCCTAAAGTCTAGAATAAATGTTTGCCTTCTCTTCGCTTCACCTTTCATTTGTATTATGAACTCCACTAGCACATGGTCACTGCCACCTAAGGATGCCTACTCCTTATTATTATCCCACTCCATTAACCAGATCCTCACTGTTGGTTAGGATCAGATCCAGAATAGCTGATACCCTTGAACAATAAATCTATGTTCCATTAGATTAAGTAGGTCTTTATTTGTCTGCTATATAAGAAAATGCAATCACAGTGAGGGTCTTGAATGGATACTTAGGTGGGCTTTGAGCTTTGAACTCCGGTTGAAGCACTTTCCACACTCGCTGCATCTGAATGGTTTCAACCCCTTGTGGATCTTGACATGGGACAGCAGGCCACATTTCTTGCTGAAGGTCTTTCCACATTCTGAACATTCAAACAGTTTTCCTCATTTGTGGATCCGCTGATGCCGCACCAGTTGTGAGTTCTTGGTGAACAACTTGCCACAGTCCGAGCACTCGAATGACTTCTTCCCGGTGTGGATCTGGTTGTGGTTCACGAGGCCTGAGTTCTTGATGAATGACTTGCCGCAGTCCAAGCACCCAAATTACTTCTTCCCGGTGTGGATCCAGTTGTGCCTCACGAGGTCCGCGTTCTTTCTGAACGACTTGCCACAGTCCAAGCATTTGAATGGCGTCTTCCCAGTGTGGATCCATTTGTGCCTCACGAGGTCCGAGTTCTTTGTGAACGACTTGCCACAGTCTGAGCACTCGAATGGCTTCTTCCCAGTATGGATCCAGTTGTGCCTCACAAAGTCTGAGTTCTTGGTGAACGACTTGCTGCAATCCGAGCACTCGAATAGCTTCTTTCCAGTGTGGATCCAGTTGTGCCTCACGAGGTCCAAGTTCTTGATGAATGACTCGCCACAATCCGAGCACTTGAATGACTTTTCCCCCATGTGGATTGAGTTGTGCCTCACAAGGTCAGCATTTTTTCTGAATGACTTGCCACAGTCCAAGCACTCGAACGGCTTCTTCCCAGTGTGGATCCAGGTGTGCCTCACGAGGTCTGAGTTTCTGGTGAATGACTTGCCACAATCTGCGCACTCGATTGGCTTCTTTCCGGTGTGGATCCAGTTGTGCTTCACAAGATCTGAGTTATTGGTGAATGACATGCCGCAGTCGGAGCACTTAAACAGCTTCTTCCTTGTGTGGATCTTGTTGTGCTGCATGAGTTCGGAATTCATCCGGAAATGTTTCCCGCAGTATGAGCACTCATGTGGGTTTCCCCTGTGGTAGATACTATGATGCTGAAAGAGGCAATACTTGGAGCTGAAGAATTTGTCGCAGTCTAAGCATCCGTACGGTTTCTCCCCTGTGTGGGACTGGTGGTGCTTAACAAGCTTGCTCTTCATGCGGAAAGATTTGCCACAGTCTGAGCATTTGAATGGTTTCTCTTCTGCATGGCTTCTTTTGCGGTTCACCAGATTCAAACTTTTTTTGTTTTTACTCAGGTTCTCCATTTCTTCCTTGACTAGGATTTCATTTAGTTCTTGAGAGCTTACTCTGCTAGGAACAGACAAATCCATTCCTGCCTTCTGATTGCTTTCAGAGTGCCCTCTTGATCCACACAAACCATAAGGAGCTTCAGCTTGGTAGTAGTAAATGACCTCTTTCTCTGTGATTATCCTTTCTAATATCTCACAGTCTTCTTGCTTGGGGCCTTCTTGTATGTGACCTTCTTCCTTCACTACACAGTGTTTCCCTGGACGAAGAAGAAAAAGTTGCTGACATATACAACAAACCTTGTACTGGGAGGAAATGTTAAGTTTCTGGAGCACACAACTCCTCTGTTGCGCCAGTTTGCTGCTGGATACAATTCAAAGTGCTGGCTTTAGCCTATAAAGCCCTAAATGGTTCCAGACCAGCTTACCTATCTGAACATATCTCCCCTTACGAATCACCTAGGGCACTAAGATCTTCTAGGGAGGCCCTGCTTTCGGTCCCACCTTTCTCACAGATGTGTTTGGTGGGGACGAGAGATATGGCCTTCTCAGTGGTAGCCCCTCGACTGTGGAATGCCTTTCCCAGAGATATATGAATGGTCCCCTCCCTCCTGACTTTTCAAAGAAAGGTTAAAACCTGGCTTTTTGAGCAGGCTTTTGCTAGTCCAGCATAATTATACGAAATCATGGAACAACCTGAGGATGCAACTGAATAACGATTTTAACAAGGAGATGCTCATGATAATGTTTTTATGGCTTTGTACGGTTTTTATATTTTACAAAAATGTTTTAATAGTATTTTATGATTGTTTTATTTGTTAAGGCATCAAATGTTGCCAACTGTGAACTGCCCTGAGTTACCTTTGGGCTGAGAAGGGCAGTATACAAATATGGTAAATGAATGAATGAATGAATGAATGAATATTATTATCTATGGGGGAAAACATTTTGGGACTTCGCATGGCTATATAAAACCATGGATAATAGGAAACCCCATTGAAATAAAATAATATTTCAGCCTAAGAATATTATAGAGTCACACTGGAGGAATTATGCCTAGAGAGCACATTATTTTGTGGGATGTGAATGAATGAAACTGCAGATACCAGTCCCACGGACAGAAGAGACATACTGTAGTACTGATTGATGCTACTTTAGGACATTCGCATAAAGAAAAGAGAACAATGTTCTTGTACCTTAAATGGGTTTTGTGGAAGATGAAATTTCAGCAAGTTGAACTTTGAATTTTACTCTCACTTGCTGAAACTGCCTATTCCACACTGCTCTATAAGGTACAAAAGAGTTGGGTTAGGACTCTCAAGATCGGGGTTAGTGTTGTACCCTGGTCAGAATCTGAGTGCTCAGAGGATGAGGAAGGGGATGCTGGGATGGAGCCTGAGGGGTCAGGGGAGGATGGAACTGGCCTGGAGAGGGTTGTTATGGAGTCTCCAGGCAGTTCCCAGGTGATTAGAGAAAGCAATTTCAGTTCTCATTGGAATCTGCCGGACTTGAAGTCTGAAAAGAATGTGGGGGATGAATGGTTTCTAGATCAAGGCATCTTGAATTTCACAGGCAAAGTGTAAAACAGAGACAGACTTGGTTTTCAGATGGCTTACAAATAAAGAGAGGAAAAGCAGGTGTGTGAGGAATGATGTCATGGGAGGGATTGAGGCCTTTTAAGTGGTTTCTGCTTGTACAATGCTTTGTGAGAGCAATGTTGATGTCAAGAGGAAGCAGCTCTCAAATTCATGTTCTTAGGTTTTGTTTTCATGTATTCAAGTTTCCAAGTTTGTTTCTAGTTCAGCGATGGTTTAGGCTGCCTGCCTTGGATTCCTGCTACCAACTTTATGGATCTATCTGTGGATTAATTATAGAGACTGTGTTTGAATGGATTTTGGCCTCTGAGATTCTTTTGGATGGGCTTTTTGAACCTTGATGCTTCTTTTTATATTTATTTCATTATATACTCTTCATTTAATACACTTCAACTGGCTGGACTATGCAGACGGATTGTGATTTGTGGGGAAAAGGTGGTTCAGAGCTCAAGTGCCACATGGGAACACAGTGAATGATACATGGATATGGGAAGCTGTGGGCAACAGCAAGCCATATTGAAATGAAGGACTTCCAGCCCAAGAATACAATGAGAGTCACATCTAGGGACCTAGAAAATGCTTTTAAGGGACATACATTGTTGGAAACGTAACTACTAATTTAGAAATAAAATACAGAACACCACATTACACACATTACTGCTCCATTACTCAATTACTGATTGAGTTAAAAGGTCTTAATCTGTTGAAACAGACAGCTTCCAGAATCTCCCCTGTGGTTTTTAATTGATTTCAGTGTTGGATATTATGTTGAGATGGAAGCAAGCTTTGTCCTCTTCTGGTATAGAGATTTGGACATATAACAACACAGTGTTCCCTTGCTACTTCGCGGTTCGCTTTTAGCGGACTCGCTGTTTTGCGGGTTTTTGAAAATATTAATAAAAAATAAAAATATTAAATATTTATGTCCAGTGGAGGCCAGGGACCCCGGAAGTGCAGTGCCCTAGGCGTGGTGGGGAAGGCCTGCCTCCCTGGCCTGCTGCTGCCTATGTGGCTCCAGAAGCTCTGCGGAGGCCAGGGAGGCAGGCAGGTGCCCTTGGGATGAGCCAGGAGGCAGGTAAGGAAGCACGGGTAAGAAAATAATATATACAATATATACAATAATTATAAATATTAAAATTAATATGGCGTCCCTACTTCGCAGATTTTCACTTATCGCGGGTGGTCCTGGAACGGAACTTCCATGATAAGTGAGGGATTTAAGCCAAAGGAAAAGAGATTCCACCTAAACATTAGGAAGAAGTTTCAGACGGTAAGAGCTTCTCGACAGTGGAAGATGCTGCCTCAGAGTGTGATGTAATCTCCCTCTCTGGAGGATTTTAAGTAGAGATTGGATCATTGGATGGCCATCTGTTGGGAATGCTTTCATTGGGTATTCCTGCATGGCAGGTTGGACTGGGTGGCCGTTGTTGTGTTTTCCAATTCTATGATTCTATGACCATAGACTCAAATTTGCACATAGACCCGCCAAAAATGGAGGGACGAATTGTACCCTGCAAATTGTACCCTGGGGACCCAAGCAAGTCAATACTCACCCACCAAGCTGGCACTTTCTTCACCCCCTTCCTTCACTGTATTCCAGATCTCCTTTTGCGGATTCCCCAAAATGTCCTTCCCGCCACTTGAGAAACTCAAAGCCATCTCCTCGCAGAGTCTAGGATCCTGAAAAAACAAGGATCATATGAGTTTGAAAACTCAATATACTTTCTGTTGCCCAAATGTATGGGCAACAGAATGTGAAAACAAAGGACAAAGATATCACAGGTTGAGTTCCCCTTATCTGAAAGCCCCTAGGGGCGCAATGGGCTAAACCCTTGTGCTGGCAGGACTACTGACCAATAGGTCAGTGGTTTGAATCTGGGGAGCTCCCTCTGTCAGCTCCAACTCCCCATGTGAGGACATGAGAGAAGCCTCACACAAGAATGGTAAAACATCAAACATCCGGGCATCCCCTGGGCAACATCCTTCCAGATGGCCAATTCTCTCACGCCAAAAGCGACTTGCAGTTTCTCAAGTCGCTCATGACACGGGAAAAATCTGAGCCTTGGAATAGAAGTGGTTTGGATTTTCTTTCCAGATTTTAGTATAACAGAATCTGCATAGTGAATGAGGAATAGGGGGAAAGGGGGCTAGTTACATGTCCAGCATCTACTGAACATATATGTGATCCTCAAGGGCTGTCAATACACACTGAACTCTTTTAACAAAGTACATGAAAAATTGTGTTTTTTCATTCTCTCTTGGCTGCATATAGTTGGTAGACAGTTGTGGTCACTCTCTTATCCTCACAGCCATTTCCAGGGCATCCTGGCCAAGTGGAAGGTGAAAATGGAAATGTCTGGGACATCCGCTGTTTGCAATCCACTCTGAGATTGCTTTCTTCCTTTTCTTCTTTCTTGAACATCTTTTGTGCTGGATATGTGTCTAGCCCCCTTTCCCCAAAATTGGAATTGGGCTCCAAGTGGCGAAAAGTTTTGGGGTTCTTTTAGCATTTGGGAATTTCCAGATAATTTCCAGATAACTGTACAAGACAGTCTGAATACTGACATCTTCAGGAGAGATACTTTAAAAAGTCTCAACTTCTTCACAAATAGCTGGTGAGAACAGGAGAGGGAGGGCATTCTGAGAAGCTGCCCCTCTTATCCACGTTTTCCTGTTTCCAAAATAAGTGCAGGAACAAATTCCCAAAGGATACGAGAAGTCATACTGTAACCCAGGGGTCCTCAAACTAAGGCCCAGGTGCCGGATACGGCCCTCCAAGGTCATTTACCCAGCCTTCGCTTAGGGTCAACCTAAGTCTGAAACGACTTGAAAGCACATAACAACAATAACAATCCTATCTCATCAGCCAAAAGCAGGCCCACACTTCCTACTGAAATACTAATAAGTTTATACTTGTTAAAATTGTCCTTCATTTTAATTATTGTATTGTTTTTAAGTTGTTGGGGGTTTTTTTGCACTACAAATATGATATGTACAGTGTGCATAGGAATTCATTCATTTTTTTCCAATTATAATCCGGCCTTCCAACAGTTTGAGAGACTGTGACCTGGTCCTCTGTTTAGAAAGTTTGTGGACCCCTGCTGCAAACAGTAACATTTTTAATGTATAAGTAACTTTGAACCCCCATCCTGGATGAAAGGATAGGACATTATTATTATTATTATTATTATTATTATTATTATTATTATTATTATTAATACTTATTTATGCCACACTTCCAAAGTCTAGTTCTCTGGGTGGTTTGGACTTAAATTCCCAGAAGCCTCGGCTGTCTTGACCAATGATTGAGGATTCTGGAAGCTGAAGTACAAAATGTGACAAAGCAGAGTTGGGTCGCAGCTCAGCAGTGGGCAGCGAGAACGAAAATCTGGCCCATGATCGTCCTTCCTCTTTTTTAATTTAATGTATTTTAATTTATTTCTGCTCCTTTCCCTAGAGCTGACCAGCCCTGCCCCTTTTGGTACTAATATTGGAGTGTTGTCCCTGGTCAAAGTGATCCCTGGTCAAGAGGTCCCTGGTCAAAGTGGTCACTGGTCAAAGTGCTCCTCGGTCAAGTGGTCTCTTGTCAAAGTGGTCCCTGGTCAAAGTGGTCCCCGGTCAAGTGGTCTCTCGTCAAAGTGGTCACCGGTCAAGTGGCCTTTGGTCAAAGTGCTCCCTGGTCAAGTGGTCCCTGGTCAAAGTGGTCCCCCGTAAAGTGGCCTCTCATCAAAGTGCTCCCCGGTCAAGTGGTCCCTGATCAAAGTGGTTCCTGTTCAAAGTGGTCCCTGGTCAAAGTAGTCCCTGGTCAAGTGGTCTCTCGTCAAAGTGCTCCGCGGTAAGCGGTCCCTGGTCAAAGTGGTCCCTGGTCAAGGTGGCCCCTGGTCAAAGTTATTCTTGGTCTAGTGGGCCCTGGTTAAAAAAAAAAGGTTGGGATCCACTGCTCTACAACATATAGCACAGCTCAACTTCCTGGGATCTTACTCCTTGCCTCCAGATATGGATACACTAGGAACATGGGGGGAAAACCAAACCCACCTGCTCTTCCCAACTACCATCTTCATGCTGCATGGGCAGGAATTCCTCCACCAGAGCCACTGCTTGGGCACAGGTCTCCGGGCTGTGCTCCTTCACTCGGTCTTGCATCTCCTGGGGAAGGATGGCTAGGAACTGCTCCAGGATCACCAGCTCCAGGATCTCCCCCTTGCTGTGCCTCTCAGGCTTCAGCCATTGACAGCAAAGCTCTCAGAGCTGGACGTAAACAAGGCGCGGGTCCTTGGCTTCAGCATAGCTGAACTGCCTGAAGTGGCGGCGAGAGACCTCTGCGCTTGGAGATTCTGCTTCCTCTACCCTCGATTTCTCTCTCAGGTGCAACGAGCTTTGTGTAAATTGTGTCTTCCCACTGAAGCTCCGGAGATACCCCTCTATAACCTCTTCGGGTTCCGTGGAAGAGGACAGAAAAGTCTTGTCATCCTCAGATACAGCTGTTCCCCGTACTCGTGGTTTGGTTGTGTGGGATGGAGAGGACTCCATTGCCTTGAGAAAGGCTTGCCACTGGGCTTCCCATACCTGCTCAGGTTCGGGGTCCAATGTGTCCTCGATTTTCACTTCCAATCCCTGCTCTAATGAAGCCCGGAACTGGGGATCTGAGGGTGAAAACTCTCCCTCCGTCTTTTCTGCTATGTCTCTTCTCATGGAGAGGGTCCAAAGTCAGCTCAGTCCTTCCGTTGACCCTCTTTGCCAATATGGCTTTGGATTTGATGTTAAGGCAACGCACGGTCAGAAGGACAAAGTGAAACCTTGTGATGATTGGGTGAAGGCAAAACAGGTCCCAAGTGGATTTCCTTCCTAAGAGAAGAAAATAAGAAAGTGATATAAAGAACTGAGGAACATTAGGACCAGAATGTGGCGCAGCTAGTTAGTAGCCAGCTGCATTAAATCACTACTGACCGAGAGGTCTTGGGTTCAAAGCCAGCCCGGGTCTAAGTTCCTGACCATTAGTAGTCTAGCTTGCTGTCGACCTATGTAACCTGAAAGACTACATCTGTCAAGTAGGAAATTTAGGTACCGCTTTATGCGGGGAGGCTAATTTAACTAATTTCGATGCCATAAAACCTTCCAGCAGCATGCAGAAGAATGAGAAGTACTCCAGCAAAGGACTCGGTGTCACAAGAGGACAGTGAAGCGGTAGCTTCCCCTGTGGCCGGAATCGAGCCTCATGAAGCCTGAAAAGCTGGAATGTTAGATGATCTGTGTCTGTCTATATATGTTGTATGTCGAAATGGCATTGAATGTTTGCCATGTATATGTGCATTGTAATCTGCCCTGAGTCCTCTGTGGGGTGAGAAGGGTGGAATATAAATACTGTAAATAAATAAATAAAAAAATAAAAAAATAAACGTTTCCAGGAAATATAAATACATTAGGACCTCCACTTTTGAGGAGGTTAGAGGTATAGGACCTGGGTTTATTTGGGACACTGATTCAGAAAATTGAATCAGTTCTAGTTTCTCAGATGTCATTATCATGGTTTTCTATTGTGGAGCAGATGACAATTGATAGATGCCCTATGTTCAGTGTCTCAAAATGGTATTCCCCGTAGAATTGTACAGGATGCATGTTCCTATGTTAAAGACTTCGTGGTCATTCATTCCTTTTTCCACCTTTTTTCATCCAGGCCCCTTCCACACAGCTGAATAAAATCCCACATTATCTGCTTTGAACTGGAATATATGGCAGTGTGGACTCAGATAACCCATTTCAAAGCAGATATTGTGAGATTTTCTGCCTTGATATTCTGAGTTATATGGCTGTGCAGAAGGGCTCCCAGACCCCTCTACTCCGTGACTATTTAGAGTTTTTTTCCCTTAGAAGTTTTTTTACAGTGTCAGAAGTGAATAGAGACTATAATGCAAGTTGCTTCTGGTGTGAGAGAATTGGCTGTCTCCAAGGACGTTGGTCAGGGGACACCCAGATGTATTACCATCCTGTGGGAGGCTTATCTCATGTCCTTGCATGGGAAGCTGGGGCTGACAGATGGGAGCTCACCCAGTCTCATAGATTTGAACCACGGACCTTCAGGTTTTCAGGTCAGCAGTTCAGCCAGCACAAGGCGCCACTCTGTCTCCTTAGAAGTAATGGAGGTAGAGAAAAAGCTTAGACGCAACGTTTTCTATAAAAAAATGAGGTTCTTATATTTTTGAATAAACCTTCTGAAACTTTAAGGATGTAACTCTGCATCCTTAAGCAAGGATTCTTTTATAGTCACACCACTACTGATTCAGCTTGCTGTGCGCTAAATTGCTCTGTTAAGTATCCTGTTTTGTATTTTTAAATATGCTGCTATTTAGGGGAATTTCCCTAACAGTAAAAAGCAAGGCCGGCTACAATTCCCTCTTCTACAAGCTATTAATGTTCTCTCCTTTTTTCTGGTAATCCTAATTTCAAATGACACACATGTTCCTGCCACTCAAAAACTCACACGGTTTGAATTCGTCCTGAGAAATGCTTGTTTTCTTGCAAACCGTCCTGGCAGCACCTTCATTGAAGTATCACCATCCCTTCACATCAGGGGTGGAGGATCCCTGCAAAAGGGGAAAAACAACAGATAAAAAATCTTCGACATGAAACTGATCCCTGCAAAATAATTTCACCTCCAGTTTTACTTGATCTGATGATAACACAACCCTACCTCAAACATTTTTGTTGTTGGTGGTGTCTTGGTTTTTAGGCCTGTTTCAGCAACTTGCATTGGATAGACCGCATGAGTTATAGTTGCTTAGATATCGTGTGTCAAATGATTGGAAAGTTTGTATCAAAAATCTGTGCTTTTTGGCTCTCACAGTCAGGAAGTTCTTCCTAATGTTCGGGTGGAATCTTCTTTCCTGTAGTTTGAAGCTATTGTTTCATTGCATCCTAGTCTCCAGGGTAGCAGAAAACAAGCCTGCTCCCTCCTCCCTATGGTTTCCCTACACATCTTGATCCATAGCCCTCATCATGTCTCCTCTTAGTCTTCTCTTCTGCAGGCTAAACATGCCCAGCTCTTTAAGCCGCTCCTCATAGGGCTTGTTCTCCAGACCCTTGATCCTTTTCGTGTCCACCCAGCTTGTCAACATCTCCCTTCAATTGTGTGCCCAGAATTGGACACAATGTGATTCCAGGTGTGGTCTGACCAAGGCAGAATACAGGGGTAGCATGACTTCCCTGGATCTAGGCAATAGACTTCTATTGATGCAAGCCAAAATCCCATTGGCATTTGAAGCTGCTGCATCACATCCCTGGCTCATGCTTAACTTCCTGTCCACAAGGACTCCAAGATCTTTTTCACACGTACTGCTGTCGAGCTAGGCATTGTCCCCCATTCTGTCTCTTTGCGTTTTATTTTTTCTGCCTAAGTGGAGTATCTTGCATTTATCTCTGATGAACTTCATTTCGTTAATTTTGGCCAATCATCTTTCTAAACTCTGAAAACCGTTTTGCATTCTGCTCCTGTCTTCTGGAGTATTGGCTCTCACTCCCAATTTGGTGTCATCTGCAAATTGATGCTCATGCCTTCTAACCCTTTGCCTAAGCCAGTGTTTCTCAACCTTCCTAATGCTGTGACCCCTTAATGCAGTTCCTCATGTTGTGATGACCCCCAACCACAACATTATTTTTGTTGCGACTTCATAACTGTAATTTTGCTAATGTTATGAATCATAATGTAAATATCTGATATGTAGGATGTATTTTCATTCACTGGACCAAATTTGGCACAAATACCCCATACGCCAAAATTGAAATACTGGTGGAGTTGGGGGGGGGGGGATGGATTTTGTCATTTGGGAGTTGTAGTTGCTGGGATTTATGGTTCATTCAAATTAAAAGAGCATTCTGAACTCCACCAATGATGGAATTGAACCAGATTTGGTACACATAACTCTCATGACCAATAAAAAACACTGGAAAGGTTTGGTGGACATTGCCCTTGAATTTGGGAGCTGTAGTTCACCTACATCCAGAGAGCACTGTGAACTCAAACAATGACGTATCTGGACCAAACTTGCCATGAATACTCAATATGCCCAAATATGAACACTGGTGGAGTTTGGGGAAAATAGACCTTGACATTTGGGAGTTGTAGTTGCTGGGATGTATAGTTCACCTACAATTAAAATGCCTTCTGGACCCCAGCAATGATAGAATTGGGCCAAACTTCCCACACAGAATCCCCATGACCAACAGAAAATGTTGAGTGTTCTGATGGTCTTTGGCGACCCCTCTGACACCTCTTTGCGACCCCTCCAGGGGTCCCAACCCCCAGGTTGAAAAACACTGGTCTAAGTCATTAATAAAGATCCTGAATATAACTGGGTCCTGGACGGAACCCTGCTTATGACACTCAGTTTGTCACTTCTTTCCAGAATGAAAAGGAAGCATTGGGGTGGGGGGGAATCACCCTTTCGGTGCATTCACTCAACCAATTACTGTGAAGGCGCGAGTGGAGCCACCTATGTATAGAACTGTTAGTTGTAAGATTTAAACTGTTGTTTCATGCTGAATCCTGCCCCTTTTTACCCTGCTTATGTATAGTTGTATGGATTGGTTGCTTGTAGCTGTCAATCAGCACTGTTTGGCTCCACCTCTTCCTGCAGGAGGGGAGAGCTTCCTTTTTTCTTTTCATTCTGCCAACAGAGTTCATACCACATGGACGTGAGTAAAAGACTTGATTCTAAAGGACCCTGATTTAAGTTACCTCTTAGAACCAGTTCTGAGGTTTTTTACCCTTGGGACTCATGCTTTATGTCCAGATCGTCCTGGATAACATTGAGGAGATCCCAAGCACCTTCAAGCCGGTTCTTTTGGCACCATAGGAAGATCTTGAGTCTTCAAAACATAGGCCATCTGAACTGGGGTTGTGGTTTGCTCCAGCATTCACAGCCATTGAGGAAAGAGGAAACTTGGTGAGGCTTCTCAGCTTCAAACCCCTTGAACCCAGGGCTAATTGAGACTGTAATGTATGTTTTCCTTCACCCCTCTAAAGTTTTCCAGCTCATTGCTTTCAAGAAATGACTTTGTGATAAATAAAGCTTATTTTGAGCTATTTACAGTGTTCTGGGTTTTTGGGAGTTCCAGTTTCCTATAGGAGGGCAAGAAGCAATCCCCTG